GAGGGAGGGAGGAAGGAAAAGCACCGTGAGCATCGGGGGATGCTCTGAGCCCGGGATGGGGGTCCCCGATGGGGTGCAGGTTAGACCCTCCAAAACAAGGAGGGGGCGGGGGGGCTCCCAGCCCCGGGAAATGAAGGGGTGACGTGCCACCGAGGGTGGCTGCAGTGATGCTCCTTCCCCATCCCTCTGCCCCATACCTGGGATGAGCCCCGGGATCTGCCCCCCCTCCCTGGGGTCCCCCCTGGCTCCTGGCTGTTCCGATGTTCCCTAATCCGCTTGTTTTAATAGCATTAAATGCTTTTAAACAAACAGGCCCTTCACCTCTGCCTGCCCGGGGTGGGGGGGGGATGCCCCAGCAGGGCCCGGGGGGGGGGGTTGGGGAGGGAGGGAGGCAGCTAAGGAGATTGAAGCGAGATTTGGGAGAGATAAAGGGGCAGGAACCTGGCCAAAACTCACCCCTGTGGGATCAGCCCCAAATTCTCCCCCTGCGCCCCGCTCGCTGTCCCCCTCGCCCCATCCTGGGGGGGACTCGGGCATGCTGGCTCCCTGCCCACCCCCAGAGCAGGGCACCAGGGACCCCCTGCCCCAATTCGGAGCCCCCCCGCCACCGCCTCCATGTTTGTGGTCCCCACTTGGCTCCTCTCCCCCCAACACTTGGGGGTCCCTCACCTGGAGACGGGGCACCCCGGGGCTCAACAGCCCCCGTAGGGCTCACAGGGACCCTGGCCCCCCCCCCCTCATAACAGAGACTTGAACAAGGTGTTGAGGCCCTTGCTAATGAGAGATGGAGAATAAACAAGGAGAGAAAATGGGTATGGAGCTCTTCCATGGGCGCCTGAGCCCTCGAGGGGGGGTTGCAGCTTCCTGCCCTTTGGATCTGCTGCTCTCGGAGCCCTGTTTGCCTTCCTGCTCCAATCCAAATATCCCAAATTGCCCCATTTGTATTTACCCGGCTGGGACACGGGGCCAGGGAAGTGCCTCAGGCGAGGGAGAGGAGGGAGTAGGGAGGGACAAAGGTGCCATCACCCTGTTCCATCCACTCCCATCTCTTTTTTTTCCTGCTTTTTTTGGCTGAATCTGGCCTCACACTCAGATAAAACGGAGGAGGAAGGGGGGAGCACGGGGGATCACTCACCTCCGGGCACCTGCAGCCAAAGGGGCAAAAACCAGTCGGGGTTTTCGGCAGCGGCTCCTTTGCCACGTCGAACGGGGACCCCCCAAACCTCCACCCTGAACCCCAAACCTCCTCTCGCCCCTCTCCCTCCCAGCCAGGTCTCGCTCCCTCTCCTCCCTGCTGGGGTGTAAGCAGATTTAAGCTCCCTTTATATACCCAGGTGATGCTCCCTAAGACCCTCAAAGGGTTTCTCCTGCCCAGCACCTCCCACTCGGGAAGACCCCCCCGGCAGGGCCACACGCGAGTGGGGTAGGGGGGGCTGGGGTCCCCCCCACCCCAGGACCCCCCGTGAAGCGGTCACGGCTGGCGGGTTTGGGGTTTTTTGGCGATGCTGAACCCAGTGTGAGTGAGGACGCGACTGTCCCCATGAGTGGTGGTGGCGTGGCCTGTCCCGGCCGTGGCGGGGGGGTCATGGGCAGCATCATCCTCTGGTGCTGGGTGCATCCAGGGGGTGCTGGGTGAATCCAGGGGGTGCTGGGTGCATCCAGGGGGTGCTGGGTGCATCCTGGGTGCTGGGTGCTGACCACAGGGCTCCTCTGCTTTCTGCTCGCAGGCTGGAGGATGCAGCGTGGCCGTCTGTCCCAAGGGCTGTCCGTCCTGCCCGGCTCCTCCTGGGTATCTTGTGAGCACCCAGCACGTGGGGGCAAAACCTTGGGGAGGGAAGGTCCCCCCTCAGCCCCCCGCTTTCCTCCCTGACTGCCCCCCGGCTCAGTCCCCCCTTTGCAGCCCCACAACCACTCCGGGATGGGGCACAGATCTCATCACCATCCTCCCCGGAGCTAAAAATCAGCTGCCTTTGAGGGGGAGCAGTGATCTTGGGGTGATGTCCCCCTGGTCCCCCGAGAGCCCTAAGAGTGCCCCGCTCGCTCGGCGTACAAAGCTGAGTCCAGCCCCGGCTCCCGGCAGATCCAGTTATGGCATTTCATCCTGGAGCTGCTGCAGAAGGAGGAGTTTCGCCATGTCATCGCCTGGCAGCAGGGCGAGTACGGGGAGTTTGTCATCAAGGACCCCGATGAAGTGGCCCGGCTGTGGGGCAGAAGAAAATGCAAACCCCAGATGAACTACGACAAGCTGAGCCGGGCGCTCAGGTGCCGCAGGGGATGGGGGGGCGGGGACGGGACAGGACAGGGGGACAGAGCCCTCGCCGTCCCAGGGGACCCCACGGGGTGGCATCTGCAATCCCAGTGGGACCCCTCAGCTCCCCCATTAACACACACACACACCCCCCTCCAGGTACTACTACAACAAGCGCATCCTGCACAAGACCAAGGGCAAACGCTTCACCTACAAGTTCAACTTCAGCAAACTCCTCTTCCTCAGCTGCCCGCTGTGGGATGCTCGCTGCCCGGCCCACCCCCACCCCCACCCCCCCCTGCCGTGCCCCCCAGCAATGCCAAGCCACAGGTAGGGGGTCCTGGGGACCCGTGGGGACAGGCTGCCCTTCCCCGGCACTGCCACATCCCCTTTTGTCCCCCCCCAGTTGGTGCCGAGCGTGCTGCTGAGCCGGCGAGTGCTGGCGGAGCCGCTGGCCTGGCGTTGGGGTCCCCAGCACCCCGACATGCTGGAGAAGAGCCTCACTAGTAAGTGTGGGGGCAGCGGGGCTGGTGGGCACGGCCAGTGCCAGCATGCGCTGGGGACAGGCAGGGCAGGGAGGGGGCTGCAGGGAGGTGGGGAGCAGTGGGCGCCAGGGTTTTTGTGGGTGCCGGGGCTTTTGTGGGTGCAGGGTACGGTGGGGTTCAGGGGCCCCCGGTGCTGCCTACGGCCCCAGCGCAGGCAGGGACGCGGCCGTTGCTGGTCCCACAGCAGCACCCAGTGGCTGTGACTGGGAGGGAGGACGGGGCACCCACCCGCAGGGTGCTGAGCCCACTGGAGAGCACCCCGGGGTGCTGCCCGCACCCCTCAGCCTGACCCCGGCCGGGATGTGCCGTTGGCCCTGCTCACCGCGCGTCCCATCTCTTGCTGCCCGCAGGCCTCGGCTCCTTGTCCCCCCCAAACCTGGGGGGGGTCCTGTTGCTGTCTGGGGGTCCCAGAGGAGCTTCCCCATCTGGCTGCCATCCCCCCACCGCTGCCAGCCCCGGGCCTCCCTGGCACCTGCCTGGGCCACCTTCCCCAGCCACCTCCTGGCCCCCCCAAACTGGGGGTCCCCGGACACGCAGGGCTTCTGTACCCCGGTTTCCCCCCCCCCAAACCCTTCCCCAGGCTCCCGCTCATGGTCGAGGGGCCGGTGGCGGAGCCCCCATCATCCCAGCCTGGGGAGGAAGGCGAGGAGGAGGAAGGCCGGCGTGATGCCACCATTGCGCAAAGCTGCCTCAGGGTGAAGCTGGAGCTCAAAGGCGGGGGGGGGGGGAACGGGCAAAAGTGGGGTGCTCCCAGCCACAGCAGCTTCGCACCCCCCCCGGCTGGTCCCTCCAGCCGCCCTAGGGTGGGCTGTGCATCGGGGCAGGGGGGGTGGGCAGCCGCGACACCCCCTCATCCCCCCCATCCCGCCCCTGCAGCACCCCTGGATGCGGCCGACATCCCCAGCGCAGCCCCCGGGGTCTGGCTGAGCCTCCCGCCCGTGGTTTGGGGTGCCCCCCATGGCCCCCAGGCTCAGCCCTTTGTCCCCCCCCTCCCAGCCATCGGACCCTGCCTGCACGCAGCTGCCGGTCTCAAAGGGCAGGAACCAGCTCACACCACACACCCCCCCCCCCAAGATAAACCAGTTTGCAGAGAGGGGTCTGGCTGTGCTCGCCCCGGGTGGCACCCCAAATCCAGTGGCACCCCAAAGCCACCGTCACCGCAGAGGGGAGGCTGCGTCCACGACCCCAAAACCGCCCACCCCCAGGGGTACGTAAAGGGGATTTGGGGGGGACGGCAGCGCAGGGGAATGCAGGTAGGACGGGCTGGCCCCCCCAAAAAGCCGATTGGGTCCTGGGGGCAGTGGGGGGCTGGGAGCTGGTTGGGGGGTTCAGGATTTGGGGTGAAGAGGAACGAGCCACGCAGCCGCCGCTCACTTGCAGGGATTCCCAGAAAACGGCCCATTTTCATTTTCGCTTTTCCATGTTTTCCATGCTGGGAAATCTGCAAGGGCAGGAAGAGGGGGGGAAAGCACCTCGCTCTCCTTTTTGGGGACACCCCCCCCCCCCCCCCGCCCTTACCCTCATGGCACCGGACACCCGTGGGGGCTCAAGGGGAGGCGGCGAGGCTTTGGGGGGGCTCCTCGCAGGGCACCCCTCAGTGGGGTGCCAGGGGGTGAGCCCCCCAAATCCCCGCTGCGGCTCAGGACCCCCCCATGCCTGGGGTACGGCTGGGACCCCTAAAACCGGGCTGTGTCTGTGGATCCCCCCCCCCCCCCCCCCCCGCCCCCAGCCAGGCTGTGCCAACGGGTCCCCCAATACCTCTGTCTATAGATCACCCCGTCTGTGGGTCCCTCCCCATACCCGCGCTCTGCGTCCCCAACACTGCGTGGGTGTGCGTGTGCGTGTCCCCCCCCCACCAGCCCCGCCCCACGCTGTCCCCCCGTGGGTCCTCTATACCCAAGTGGGTCCCCCCCCTCCCCGTGGCTCCCCGTGGCTCCCCCCCATCCCCACACATCCCCCCCCCCCACCCCACCCGTGTCCCCTCAGGCCGTGTCTGTGCGTGTGCGCGTCCCCCCCCGCACACACTCTTCCACCACCCTCCTCCCCTCCGCCGGCGCTGCCCCCACCGGCGGCGGCGGCGGGGGCCGGGCGAGCCCGGGGATTGGGAGCGGGCGTAGGCCTCTCCCTCGGCCCGGCCCCCAGCGCTGCCGGGCGGGTCGGGGCCGGGGGGGGGGGGGGGGGGTTGTGCCGGGGGGGGGGGGCAGCCGCCGCCGCCGCCGCCGCCGAGCCGGGATCAAGGCCGGAGCTGGGGGTCGGGCCCCGCCGCCGCCGAGGCCGCCGCCGGGGCTCCCGGGGATGGTGGCGGCCGGAGCGGGGCGGCGGCTCCCCGCGCCCTGAGCGCCGAGGGGCCGCGGGCGAGGCACCATGAGCGTGCGGCCTCCGCAGGCCCTCGACAGGTAGGTCTGGGGGGGCCGGGGGGGGGTCCCCGCCGCAGCCGCTCACCGCGGCCTCCGGGTGGGTGTCAGCCGAGGGGAGCGGGGCGGTGGGCGGCAGGGAGACCACCCCCCCCCCCCCGCGCTGCAGCCGGAGGGTCCCCTCTGAACGAGGCAGCGTTTTGGGGTGAAACTGTGGTTTGGTTTTTTGTTTTTTTTTTTTTTGGGGGGGGGGCGTGGGTAGCGCAGGCCGCAGGGCCTCCAGCTCCGTGGTGGAGGGGGGGGGTGGGGGGGTCCCTGTCGTCCCCCCCCCCCCCCCCTTTGGCCCATCCCTCCGTTACCCCAAGGTGGTCGCATCCCGCCACGATGCTCAGGTTTACGCTGGTGTGTGTGTGTGTATCCCCACCACCCACCCCCCCCCCCCCCAAAAAAAAAAAAAAAAAAAAAAAAAATCACTACCCCAAAACCAGCCCATGTGTGACCGGTGGGAAAATGTGGCCGAAATTAGAAATGGGGAAGCACCCAGGCTCGCTCCTGCGCTGTTAAATCGCTTTCCTCGGGGCGCAGCGGGAGCGTTTTGCCCCTAACAGCCTCAGTTTTAACCAGAAATCTCTTCAGGTGGGCTTTTGGGGGGGGGGGGGGGGGGCGTGCCCCTGGGGTGGATGGGGCGCCTCACCGCCCTCCTATCCTCTCCAGAGCTCAGTCCCTTGCAGGCAATTAAGCTAATTAACCCCCAGCGGGAGGATATTCCCCCTTCTGCCGCAGGAATGGGGGGGCTGGTGGGGGTCCCGCTTGTGCGTGTGTGTATCCCCCCCGTCTTTGGACAGCGTGGTCCCGGGTAGGCAGCGCTGTCTGCATCTTCCCCGCTCTGTGCGTAGAAAGATGGGAGACCTGCTCACATTCGGGAGCTGGAAACGGGCATCTTGCTCCTCGGCAGCCGGCTCAGACCCCTCTTGGCACCCATGTGCGGGGTCCGAGCAGACCAGCATGGCAGAGGGATGGGAGCCAAGGGAATAAGCCCCAGAAAAACCCCATTTGCTTTTGGGGGGACTTGAGGGAACGGAGGCGGATTGTGACTGCTGTGTCTTGGGGCGAGGAGCTTCCCGGTGTCCCTGGCACGGCCAGGCTCGTGGACTGGGACACCCCCCCCCCCCCCCACCCCGTCCAGCCGTAGGGATGCGACAGCGTTTATTCCACCTGGAGCTCGCCCACTCGTGCCCCTGGCATGGCTTTCTGCTGAAAACAAGGTTTTGTGGTCGCTCCCCATGCTCCAGGAGAAGCCGATTCAGGGCGTTGGGGTGCCGTGGCCGCTGGAGGCGTCCCTGGCCGACGGCGTTGAGGATGCTCAACGTGGGCTCCCGGCGCATCGGCACACGCTGCTGGCCCGAAATGTGGTTTGGTGCGTTCGTGGGCAGGGTGGGCGACGTGTTTCCACCTCCTTCGCCAGCGAGCCCTTTGCGCGGCTTTCTCCTGGTTTGGGGGAAAGATCGGGTGGGCGAGGCAGGGGCTGGGGTGGAGTACAAAACCACCCCGCCACGCTTTCCCTCTGCGTAACTCTTAATTAGGCAGAGAACCCGGCCACGAGGCCAGCGACAAGGCTCTGCCTGTTCACAGCTAGCCCCCCTGGAGCAGAAATTAAGGAGCTGCCGAATTTTGCTCCCATCCTGGGTGGGGAAGTGCCAGGACCAGGTCCCGGCAGCGTGTCGGAGCAGGGACGCACCGCGTGAGCCTGGCTGCCCGACTTCCCCACCTCGGGGAGCTGCGGGGCGTCATTACCGGGCTTAAGACTTCTCTCTGCTCTTTAAATAGCCGCGGTCTCCTCCGCTCTTTAAGGTCAGGCGCCTGAAGTGCCCTGGCAGAGCTGGGAGTCACTCGTTGCTGGGTGGCACGGCTCTGCAGCAATAAAAATGACTTGAAAATAGATTAATGTGAGGGCTCTCCCGGCCAAAACACCCCAGCAGCCGCCACCACTGAGCAAACAGTGGCTTTGGGGTGAGCACAGGGCTTCTGCCCGCTGGTCCATGCAGCCCATCCCAGTCCAGCAGGCTCCCAGGAGAGGCAGACCAGTGCAAACCAGTACAGATCCTCCTCCTCCAGTGTTAGGAGATGCAGAAGGAGCTGCGCATTGATCATCAGTGAGCACCGTCCAGCCGTAGGGACTTGACTTGTCCGTGGCTTTAGTCATCCCTCTCTAACCTCTTGTATTGCCACGGTTTTAATTGCGGAAGGAGCCCAGGGGAAGGCTGGAGGAAAGCGTTTCGAGAGCGGCTGTTCCTGAGCTGCACTGGTGGAAAGAGGCGCGATCTTCCCCACTCTGAGGTGTGTGGCTTTTATTTAGGAGGAAGGTCAGGGAGAAAACGTCCCTTCGGGGTAGGTTATTCCGTATCTCACTCGCTGCTCCAGATCTCGCACCCCAAAAGCGCCGTGAGTGCCGGACAAACCAGATCTGCCAGTCTGTGTTTTCCAGGAGATGAGTGGCACCGTTAATGATTACACCGCCCTGCACGGGCAGAGCTCGGGAGCGATTTGAGGTTGCTCACATCCTTGCTGCACGCTCCGGCACCATTCCTGGAAAATCTGGGCCCCGCGCTGCGTGTGAACCGCATCTTCCTTGGCGGGGAATTCGGATCTCGGCTCCGCTTTCCCCATCGGGCTCCCTCCACGCTCCCATGCCGTGGTTTTCTTGCAGGCAGGCAGGGCAAGGATGGCACACACTTTTGAAAACAAAACTTTGTGGGAGGAAAGGGCTTTCGGTGCGCAGGATTGCTGCTGATCCGGCCTAACTTTGTTGGTAACGGTCGTGAGGCTTAGCATTTATGCAGCAGAGACTGTGTGCAAAGTGCTTTGCAAACATGATCTAATTAAGATGTAAATACTTGCTGGCCCCTTCCTCGGCTCCCTCCTTGGCTCCCACAGCCCCTCCATGCTCTTCCCCAGCTCTTGCTGGTCTCTACTGGGCAGAGAGCTCCACTCTGTGTCCCTTTTTGGGTCTAATCCTGCTGTGGAGCTCCCACAGCCATCTCTGGGAGCGGAGCTGGGGTTGTTTAGGGTCTTCTTTCCCCGGCTGCCCCCTCGTAGAGGCTGCGGGGGGTGTTTCGGGAGGGAGCGGTGCGGGAGGGCCCCGGCCCAGTGAGCCGGGCAGGCATCGCGACTGCAAAACCCAACAAATTTTGCGTAACCGACTGGCTGCCCGAAATCGCAGCTGTCCCCGCGCTCAGCCTCCGTTCCTCCCCGTGGGGAATTGGCATTGCAAAAATTTGCAGCACACAGACAATTAGAAATGTGGGGAATGGAGTCTGCTGCGCCATTAAACAACCGGGGCTGCTGTGCTTGTCGTGTTAATTTTTATTTTTTTTTTTTTTTTCCCCCCCCATTTAATTAAAAGTCTTAATTTAAACAAAGCTTTTGCAAAATCCCCTGTCTGCTGCAACAAAGTTGCTGGAGGAATCCGGGGATTTAAATTCAGTTTGCTGTGGCGCGTACACGGGACTTTGCATCTGATTTGCAAAATGAAATTTGCTACCAGCCGCCTCCTGAGGGCTGAGGCTTTGCTTTGCTTTTCTCCCTTGGAGAAAAAAAAATAATACCCAAAAAAAAAAAAAAAATGCAGAGAGAGAGAGAGAGAGAAGGAAAAGCTTTGCTGCATAAAGCTCAGATGGATCCGGGATGACTCCAGCCTCGTGGATTCGCGGGCGGCCGGGCAGCAGCTGCGGGGCGGCTTGGCAGTCGCGCGTAGCCCGCGTGCCACGGGGACGCGCCGGATCTCGGCCGGCTGCCGCGGTGCCGGCGGTGTTGCCGAACCGCCGGGGTCGGAAGCCCGCTGGACGGTCCCGGCTCCGCTGCCGGGAAGAAGGAGCTGGGTTATACAAACACACCAGGATCGGCACGGCGGGGACGGAGGCGGCGGGTTCTTGGCCAAAAGTCCCCGGGGAGCTGCCCTCGTCCCGCGCTTCAAGTGACGTGCTTCCCCGGCTGGGAGACGGAAACTTGTTGTGCGTTCTCGTGTGGGAAAAGATGTTTTGAAAACCAGATCTCGTCGGGGATTCGGGGGGGGGGGGGGGCGTCGTCACGAGCTGCGTCTGCAGGCGGCCATAAATGTCGAGAACTGATTTTTATATTTTTTCCCTCTTTCTTTCATTTGCTCGCAACACCCTAGCGAGGTTCAAATCTGCCTCGCCGTGCAAACTTAGACGCAGACGCGTAATCACAAGCTTCCCCGATGCGTCATGGTGCAGCGGTGGATGGCTCGGCCACGGAGGGCAGGAGCGGCTTTGAGCCTCGAGCCCTCCGTCCCCTGCGGCGGAGAGGCGGGAGGCATTCCCCGGGGGGGGGACACACAGACACACACGGGGACACACACACCCCCCCCCCCTGCTCCCGGGGAAGCGGGGAGCGGGGCGGGGGGATGCGGAGGGACATCCCCGTTTGCGGCGCATCCTCGGCACGGCCGGCTTTCCGCTGCGAGGCTGGAGCCGCTCCAGCGCGAGGAGCGTCGGGGCTGGACGCAGCCGATTTCCCTCTGCCCTGCCACGGGGAGGGGGGAAGGGGAGGAAGCTGAATCATTTTTATGTTTGGGGGTTTTTTGTTTGGTTTTGGGTTTTGTTTGTTTGGTTGGTTGGTTTTTTTTTGTTGTTGTTGTTGTTTTGGTTTTTTTTTTTTTTCCTAGCTGAAATTCCTTCCTTCCTGTCCCCAGAATACCAGTATGTGAGGGCTGTGGCCCGGGAGAGCGGCCGGCGGCAGGGTTTGGCACGGGAGGTGATCCTGGTGCTACCAGCAGCTCAGACCGTTAACGTCAGGCTGCAGTGGAAGCAGTGACTCAATTGCGAGAGGAATCCCACCAAGACACTGATTTCCCTTTTCATGTCGTTGGTTTTCTTGTTTGTTTGGCTGTTTTTGTTTTTTTTTCTTTTTGCCATATATATTTCAATTTGTTTGCAACTTTTCCTGCTGATGGGCTGGCTCTGGCCCCACCTGCCTCCTCTCTCACTTCAAAAGGCAGCGGGTTTCCAGGCTTGCCAGCGCAGGCTCCGGCTACTCGCAAAACATTTTCTCTCCCCCGGAGCTGCGATCGCAGGGAGCCACCGTTTGGAGACCTGGGAAGGAAAAAAAAATAAAGCTCCCAGTCTCGGAGAGAGAGTTTTCCAAAGCTCCAGCTGGAGACTGACCCGCTTTGAGGATTTGATCCTGTTCTTCTCTTAATCTTTTAATTGTGGCGTTTGCTCTGCGTGGACTCCCGAGGTGGCAGTGCCTGGGCTGTGCTTTGCTCTTGAGCGTGCGTGTTGGTTTTATTTTTGTCCTTGGTTTTCCTTTTTTTCCCTCTGCTGTGCCCACCTCTGCCTGGCTGGGTGCTTCTCAGGGGGATGCCCAGTGTGTGCTGCCCTCTCCCATCCTGCCCCCATTTACAGGCAGGCCGCGCAGAGCATCTTGCTCCCGTCGCGTGATCCTGAAAAGCAGACAGCCGCGATTTAACTGAGAGTAGCCAAAATCAGGGAAAATAACCTCAGAGCTGAAACATCCGTGGTGTAGGATGTGGCTACAGGTGCCGGTTTGGAGACTGGCACCGGCGCTGGGACTGGGTGAGTCAAGGGCGGTTGGAGGATTTGGGGAATGTACAAGGGCTCTGGAGTTAAAAGTTATAGGAAAATTGGAGGGCTGGTCTTTCCGGGCACCGAAAGCAGCTTCCCCAGCTGGAAACAGGCGTCGGGGTCAGGTCTCCGTCAAGCCGGCAGCGTTTGGTTTGAAATGGCAGGTTTTGGCTCTCCGTAAGTCAATTAGGAAGGAGCTTATGCAAAGCCGAATTAAACTCCTCTTTTAGACAGCAATAAGCCAGCGCTGGCCCGGCTCCTTCAAGCGGGATGGAAACAGGCTCCTGCCACGGGCGTGGGGTTGGCATCTCCCAGCGCGGTGCTGGTGTTGGACTGGTGGCCCCTGGCCGGGCTGTGGGCTCAGCCACGCGTGGTCCCGGCACCGCCGGGCACTGGGGAGCTTGCCCTAACGAAGAGGCTTAACGACTGTCCCGCTGTGCAGCAGCACCTTAAATCCTGGCATCCGGGGCAATGCGGAAAGAGGAGCCGATCCTTCCTTGGCCTGGATAAGCGACGGGTCTGACCTGCCCCGAGCACCCTGAGCCCGGCTGCCGGGTAATCCCGCGGGGTTAATCCTGCGCCTACCCATCGACTGGCAACAGTGCTCTGAAATGGGGAGGGGGGAGAGTGGTTCCAGCTTCGGCCGTCTCCCCCCTTCCACAGCCCCCATCCCAGGCTGCGACCGTGCCTGGGCTCCTTCGCGCCGAGGTCCTGGTTTATCCCTCGCTTCAGCGAGCGAGGGTTGTAGTCGAGTAAATTAAGAGGCTGTGGCGTAACGGTTGTGCAGGTCGGGTCTGGATTAAGATTGTCCAGGCAACCTTAAAGGAGGCGTTTCCTAATATTTGCTTCCTGGATCAGGGAAGGAGAGGGGGAGTTGTTGGGTTTACGCCGCTGCGGGCTCCGACTTTGCATCCCCATGGGGTGGTTTTGGGGGGGACCCTCTTGCTCGACGCCTCCTTCTCCGTGTCGTCCAGAGGAAGGTGTGAAACCAGGAGGAGGATTTGTCCCAGCGAAGGTGAACCCTGCCCCGAGCCTGGTGGGCGCTGCGAGGCCGTGCCGGGCTCGGGGGGGTGTTTTTGGGTCCTGCCACCCTCCCCAAGGGGTGTAAGCGTGCTGTCACCATGCTGCCTGTCACACCTCTGCCTCTTGATCTGTTTGTCTTTCCCCGCCTCCCGCTGTCCTCCCGGTGTCCCTTGTGCCACCTCTCACGGCCACCACCCCTGTCTCTGTCCTCTCCGGCAGCCGACCGGGCAGCAAGAGGCAGCCTCACCTGCCCAGGTAAGCGGGCACAGGGACGGGGCTGCTTGTGCTCTCATCCTGCACCCTCGCTTCATCGCAGCCTTCGGGGTGGAAGGCAGAGACCGGCTGCTCTTCCCAACGGAAGCACCTTCATTTTTTCCCTCTTCCCGTTGCTTTCCAGCCCTGCCCCAACAGGGGAGAGCTGTGGCTGGTTAGGAGGAGAGACAGGGCTTTCATCCCTGGGGTGGCGTGGGATCGTGGAGGGGGACAGGGAAGAGGAGGCAGCACTCCGGGGCCCTCGTTTTGTGGATGGAGCCAGTTTGGAGGCAGAGTCAGGCCCCTGAGGAGGGGTAAAAGCTGAGGGCTGCTCTGGCATGCCGTCCCCTCTGGCCACAGCTCGTGGGTCTCCTGCCCACACACTGAGCCTGCCGGCACCATCTTCCTCAAGGAGTGTTTGCAGGGATGGCTGCCCAGCCTGGACTTCCCCAGACCCCCATTAGCTGGAGAATAAACGCCGGGGCTAGAAAGAGCCGTGCAGATGAGCTCCCCCTTTCAGCACGGCAGCGAGGGGATGCGCTGTGCCCCTTGGATGCACAGAAAGCCCCAGTCCACGTGCCCATCCAGCATCCAAAACCTTCCTGCAGGACTAGCGAAGCTCAGTGAGAGGACAGCACCATAAAGTAACTGCCTGTTGTCTGTCTGTCTGTGTCTCTCACCCATCCTTTGCTGCTTCGTGTCTCTCCTTCCATCAGCCCCGTTGCTGCCTGGTACAGACCTGCCGCTGAGCTCCATCCTGTCCGCGCTGCATGATGCATCCCTCCCCTCACCCACCACCTTCGCCGCTCTCCTTGAGCCCCGCTCGTCCCGGGCAGCCCCCGCCGTTCCTCCCTGCCAGCAAACGCGGGACCTCGGGGTCCTGGCCCCGAGCGGGGTCTCTTTTGGGGGCTCTCCCTGGAGCCCCGTGGTGGTGAAGGGAGAGGAGCCTTTTCCCAAGGCGGTTTGGGGACAGGCAACGGGAGGGATGGGCAGCATTCGCCCGTGCTGGCTGCTGTCACCTCCCAGCTCCGTGCATTTGTTTTTCCGAAGCCTGAGAAGGAGCCGTGGCTGCAGGATGGCTCCGTCCAGCTGTCCCCCTCCCTGAGTAATCTTTCTCCTCCGCAGGTTAAGCAGCCTGTCTTCCTTGGGTGACTCGTCTTCAGAGCGGAGGTCTCCCGGGCACCACCGCCAGCCCTCCGACTCTTCCGAAACCACAGGTAGGGTTTTCCTGCCCCCCTCCTCTGCTTTTCTTGCACTTGAGGACTGCGTTTAGCGCCCTGTCCACACCGGGAGCTTGGGGGCACGTTGCCACCTCCCTCAGTCCTTGCAGCACCCTTGGGGACAGGGCTGCTGCGCCCCTTCACAGCACCCAAAGTCACCCAGCCGAGGCTGCAGGTGTCTGGGGAGGGCAGGGCGCTTCCTCGGCTGCTGGCAAAGCAGCCCAGCGGGGCCAGGGATGATGCTCCAGCTGCCTGCAGCCAGAAGCTACTTCCCACCCTGCCTGTGCTCCCCGGGGGCACCCCGTTTTTAGGAGAAGGGCTCCAAAGCAGGGACATCGCGCGAGGGGTTTGCGGGGTGAGGACGAATTAGCCGTGCCCTTGGGGTCTGGCAGCAGCAGGGGGGGCTGACACCGGGGGCTCTGCACGGGGCTGTGGCTCAGGAGAGCTGGTGGGAGCCGCAGGCCCTGAAACTGAGAGCAGCAGGAGGGGGTCCCCACAAGCCAAGGCTGCGCCCCACTGTTTTTTTCCTTCTCTTCCCCCCCACCCAGGTCTGGTCCAGCGCTGCGTCATCATCCAGAAGGACCAGCATGGCTTCGGCTTCACCGTCAGCGGGGACCGCGTCGTCCTGGTGCAGTCGGTGCGGCCAGGTGAGAGGGCCCGGCGCTGGCGGCATGTGGGGTGAGGGCAGGGGGGGCAGGAGTTAACCTCGGGGCTCCCCTCACCTGCCCAAAGCCACATCCCTTTGTGAGGAAACGTGGGAAAAAGGGGTTTTCCTTCCTAAACGTGGCCAGCTCGGGATCTCGCTACGGCATCACCCAAGGTGGGCAGGACGTGATTGCTGGGGGGGAAGTAAGGCAGTTTTGGGGGAAGTGTTTTGGGGAAGCGCCCCAAAATCACCGTGCTCTCCCTGCTCCTTGTACAACCCGGGGAGCTGCTGACCGTGGGTGGGTGGGGAATTCCCTTTTGGAGCCCTGGGTAAACACAGATTCAGCAGCTCGCTGCTCTTGGCGCTGTGCTGCAGGAGACGCTGCCGGTTTTGCTGTATAATGACTTTGCGGGGTGGCAGGGCTTGGAGCAGCAATTTAAATAGACAATGAGCTGCTTATTTTACAGCGGATGTTCCCACCTCCTCCCCCTTCCCCCCCCTCTAGCCCGAAAGCCAGGAAAAATGAGAATATAGGAAAGGGAAAATGCTGCAAGTTTCAAGGGCAGGTTAGGGCTGGAGTGCCTCTCTCCTGCAACTGGAGCTATGTGGGGAGCCCCCCGCGTCGGCCCCCTCACCCCAGGGAGCATCCCCAGGTGCAGGACAGCCCAGAGTGCTGTCCCCCCTCTTCCCACTCACTTAATTTGCCAATAATGAGACCGTTAAAGCTGAAAGAATCCGAACAATCCGGTGTACTTTCCACTCTCGGAGCTCGCTGCCATGTGTCAGACCCTTGGCTTGAAGTTGAACCTAATGGAAACATTTTCCTCTCGGTTTTGGCTTTAGGAAAAGCAAATTTTTCATGTATTCCAACCTCGGCAGCTTTGTTAAAGAGCAGGCAAGGGTAGAGGCGGCAGAGCCGTGCTGCTCTTCCTGGGCCCCGCTCCTGCCTTTGGATCCAGGCACGTGGTGGCTCTCTGGATGTGTCGGAGCCAACCCGGATGGTGGGATAACAGGTTGGGGCCCCCTCTTCCATCCCCGAGACGGATGGAAAAGGCTGGGGTCTGGCTGGGTGAGCAGAGGAGGGCTTGTCTGGATGAGCTGTGAGCTGAAGGTCTGCTGGGTGTTGTGTGTAAAGCACCCACGGCTGGTCGCAAGCCTCGTCCCGTGGGAAATATGTGCCTGGCCGTCCCCGTGTCCCCACCCTGGCAGGATGAGTGGCACAGAATGTGCCAGGCTGAACTGGGCCTGGTGGGAGCGGAGCCCCTGGCTCGGTGCGTCTCCCCTCCGTCCCTCCTGATGTCTGTCTCTCCTCCCTGTGTCGCAGGGGGGGCAGCCATGAGAGCCGGGGTGCAGGAGGGGGACCGAATAGTCAAGGTGAGCACCCCCCCCGGCTGTCCCCTCCGCTGCTTTTCCACGCAGGGCCGCGTGCCCCGCTCCCCCCCTGCCACCCCTTGTCTGACCCCCCCCCCCCCCCCCGCCCCTTCTCCCCTCTCCCAGGTGAACGGCACGATGGTGACCAACTGCTCTCACCTCGAAGTGGTGAAATTAATCAAGTGTGAGTACGACCGGGGAGCCGGAGCGGCTCCTTCTCGCCCCGGGTGACCAGCAGCCCTGCTCCCCACTAGCCGGCTGCTCTGCCCAGCCACCCCGCTCCATCGTGCCCGGGGTTGAACAGGAGCACGAAGCACGCTTCCATCGGGCTATTAGGGAGATGGCTGGCACCCAACCCCCACCTCGCGCACCCACGGGGTGACGGCCCGCCCCGCAGCAGGGTCCTAAAAAGACAAATCAGTGTTCACAGCCTCAGCCACGAGCCTTGCAGCACGGCGAGGGGCACCTCGTTCATCCCCAGCCTGGGAGGCCACAGCATCCCACCCAAGGGCAGGTCTCAATTCTTGGGAAAAGATGGGGAAAATCTGTCTCGATCCTTTCAGCGTTCGCAGGGGTGGGCCAGCGTGGCACCCGCCACGGCAGAGGGGGCCTTGCTGCTTAGAGGGACGGGGACGTGCCCACCCCGATGCCGTGATGCCCGTCGGCTGGTTTAGGTTCGAAAGAGTGAATAGCGAAAGTCTTTCTCACCCTCCGTTTCCCCGCTCCCCCAATTTTTTTTCCAGCCGGTGCCTACGTCGCTCTGACCCTCCTGGGCTCTCCCCCTCCCTCGGTGGGGCTCTCTGCTTCTCAGCAAGACGTGAGCACGGCGGGGGCTCCCCGCATCACCCCCGCCTGTCCCCCGCCGCCTCCCCCGCCGCCGCTCCCCCCGCCGCAGCGCATCACCGACCCCAAGCCCTTGCAGGTAGCGATTCGCGGGGCGCCCCCACCCAGCCACCCTGCCCTGTCCCCGCTGCCGCCGCTCAACCCATCTCTTTGCACCCATCGGGAATTGCAGGACCCCGAAGTCCAGAAGCACGCGACGCAGATTCTCCGCAACATGCTGCGGCAGGAGGAGGCAGAGTTACAGGTATTGGTGGTGGCACGTTTTATTTTTTTATTTTGGTTTTTTTTTTTTTTTTTCTGCCGCGGTGCTGTTCCTGGCTTCTCAGCCCTTACAGCGCACAGTGGCGTGCTTCAGCCCGTCGTCCCACTCAGCCCCGTTTCCCCGTGGGCGGCGGGATGGGGTTGGGGCCGGTGTGAGCGTCCCCTTTTGTCTCTCCTCTCAGCGCTTCTACGAGGCGTACAGCCGAAACCCTGCCACGGCGGTGGAGGAGCAGATCGAGGGAGCGCGCCGGCGGGTCAGCCAGCTGCAGCTCAAAATCCTCCAGGAGACTGGTGGCTCCATGGTACGTGAAATTAGCGGGGTTACCTCCAGTTCGGGGGGGCCTGCCATCCCTCCTGGCTCCCTCCAAGCCTGGCTGGAGCCTGGGGAGACCCGAGGCGGTGGGCACAGCGGTGGAGATACCCCTGATTTCCCAAACCTGCTGCGGTGGGAGCCGCTGTGGCTGACCCATCCCTGGGCCCGTGGCCGGGTGTCCCCACGTGGCCGGGGAATGTCCCACCGGTCCAACACACCTCCTCACATTGCAGGATTCGGGGCGGCTCTGCGGCGACTCCGGCTTGGCCGGGTTCAGGGTGGTGGAAGGTGAGTTGTGCTGCCGGTTCGGACTGTCCCCTCGTCCCCGTCTCCTGAACACAGGGGTCAATCTCTCTCCTCTGCTCCCAGGACGCCTCTCCCTGGACTCACAGGATGGTGACAGCGGGTTGGAGTCCGGGCCGGAGCGGTTCCCTTCCCTGAGCGAGGTGAGAGCGGGGTTATTGCAGCCGTGGGGAGCCCACCCCAATTTCTGCTGGGCCTTGGGAGTGGGGAGGTGGACAAGTCCGCGCCTCCTTGGGTCAAGGACCTGCTGTTGTAATTACAATTGTTTGTCTGGCGTCTGAACAAACTGAATTTCTTGTCATGCGGCCTCAGCTCTGAATTCGTAACACTTAGCCCGGTGTGACTGCCCCCAAAGTGAAGGCTACCCCAAAAGTTTGTGGTCCTAATCTTAAAAGTTTTTCTGATGACCCTGGGGGGTTTTTGTGGTTCCTGGGCCTGCCTCCCTTTGTGCCGTTCTGACCTGGGAACTGCTCTGGAGACGGCCCCGAGTGCCTCTGCTGGGTGGGTGAGCGGTGGCGGCAGCCCCCTGGCCGTCCCCATGCCCCGTGTCCCCCTGACACCCGCGCTGCCACCCCCAGCAGACCTCCCTGAACCGCAACTCCGTCCTCTCCGACCACGGCCTGGACAGCCCACGAACCTCCCCGGTCATCACCGCCCGCCTCTTCCAGCACCATCGCCGGCAGGGCTCCGACACCCCCTTCACCCCCTCCGCCGACCAGGTGGGCTGGGGCCGGGTGGGGGGGTCCCGCCGCACCCCCCGGGGTGTCTGATGGGGGCTCGACCCGATCACACGTGGTCCGAGCTCCCCTCGGGAGCTGGCGGGGTGGGTGCTGCAGGGAGGGTAGAGGCATCCCCCCCCATCCCAGAGCCGGGTGTCTGGCTCCTAACTCTGTCCCCTCTCCCTGGCAGGGGTCGGACCGGACAGGACGACCCCTCATCATCGGGCCGGAGGAGGATTACGACCCGGGATATTTCAATAACGAGGTAACGGGGTCCAAAGTATTCTTGGCTTTTGTCCCCTCCCCTTAGGGGACGTCCCCTTCCCTTTGTGGGTGCTCCGGCACCTGGCAGAATTCAGAAATCCTCCCAGGGGACATCCAGGGACAGGCTGGTCTGGGGGAGGCGAGTGCCCTGCGGGGGTGAGGAAATGGGGGTGGGAGCTGGGGGTTTACCCCGGTGCTGAGCCGTGGGACGGGGCTGATCCGGAGGAGTTAATTCTTTTCCTTCCTGACTGGCTCTTTCTGCTCTGGTCCCTTCTCTGCGCAGTGCGACTTCCTCTTCCAGGACCTGGGCAAGCTGAAATCCCGACCGGCGCATCTGGGGGTCTTCTTGCGCTACATTTTCTCCCAGGCAGATCCCAGCCCCCTGGTAAGGGACCGGCCGGTGTCACCGACGCAGGACAGGGAGCGGGGAGCCGGGGGACGCAGACGGGGCGGCGTATTTGACACCATCCCCTCCTCGGGCTGAGCGCGGGGTGGTGCTGGTTTGCCGAGCCCATCCGCAGAGCTCTGGGTTGCCCTTCTGCCGGAGGCTGCCTGCTGCTGGCAGCTGCCAGCCAGTGGTTTCCACAGCTGTGTGCGTGTGTGCACGTGAGAGGGAAACACAGCGTAGGGTTACACTTCCTCCCCTTCCTCCCAGGCGTGGCACGGTGCGGGGGGGGGGGGGTGCTGCCCTCCCCAGACCCCAGTGATCGTTTCCTGTTTCATGGCCGTACGGGGCACCACTTCACTGAGCTTTTCCCCTCCCTGCTTCTAAACTTCCCCCCTCCTTCGCTGCCCACCTCTGCTCTCCCCTCCTTGCAGCTCTTCTACTTATGCGCGGATGTTTGCCAGCAGACGACAGCCAAGGATTCCCGGGTTTTGGGGAAGGACATCTGGAACATCTTCTTAGACAGGAACGCGGTAAGGGCTGGGAGCCTGCACCCGAGTCCTTGTCCCTGCAGAGGATCAGCTGGAAAGCCAGCGCTGGGTGTCGTGTCCCTTGCATGGGGGTACTTCCATAATATTTTTTTTTGCCACTGGTTCAAGCGGTTGCGTAAGGCACATACCCCGTCGTTGCACAACTGCAGCTGCCCCCGTGCCTGGAAACTCGGCACAGGCGGGGAGAGGGGGGTCCTGGCAGCGAGGACGGGGCACCAGGCGCTCCCGTTAGTGCTTCTGGGGCTCAGTGCCCCCTCGGAGGGAGTGGGGTCCCGTTGTGCTGCTCCAGAGGGGGGTTGTCTGTTGGGTGCTGGGTGCTCGGTGTGTGACATCCCCAGCTCTGGCCTCAGAAATTGCCGCGGGGTGATGGTGCAGGAGCGCGGGGCACCCTCTCCATGCTGGCTTGAGCGTGGCTCTGGCGCGTGCGCCGTATCCCCAGCTCCTTCCAGCCCTGTTCGCTGCACGGGGAGGGTGAAGCGGTGCTGAGCCGCTCTTCTGTTCTGCCTTCCCTTCCCAGCCTCTCCGAGTGAAAGTGTCTGAGCAGCTCCTGGCTGAGATCGGTGAGTGAGGGGCTCTCGGGTCCTGTGCCTGCTGCAGCAGGACCGTGCTAAATGGGAGACGGGTTGTCCCAGCCTGGACACCGACTAGCAAGGGGACTCTGCGGTCTCCCTGCCTGCCCCGCTCTGCCCAAGGGCCTGGAGCTGCCAGAAGATCCCCTGTGCCCTTCCTTGCAAGCTGAGCGTGGTTGGTGACACCGATCCTCCTCTCCCGTTCCCCAGAGACTCGCCTCAGGAATGGGGACGATGTCCGAGCCACCCTCTTTGAAGCTCAGGAGATGGTGATGCCCGAGATACAGGAGCAGATCCAGGACTACAGGTAACGCAGCTGCCCGGGTGCCCCGCAGAGCGCGACGGGCTCCTGCCTGTCGGGTGGCCCTGACCCTTGTCGTCCCGCAGAACAAAGCGCACCATGGGCCTGGGGAGTCTGTATGGGGAGAACGACCTCTTGGACCTGGATGGGGACCCCCAGAAGGAGCGGCAAGTAGCCGAGAAGCAGCTGGCCCAACTGGGCGACATACTGTGAGTGCTGGGCTGCCGGGGAGGCTCCCTGCCCTGCCTGTGGGGGAGCGCCTGTCTGCCTGGATTTGGGGCAAGGGTGTGGGGAAGGGGTTTGGACACAGGTTTAGCTCCGCTCCTTGATCTTGCTTGATCCACGCATTTGTTATTGGAGGCGGGAAGGAGAGTTTGGAGCAGGCGCTGGGTGCAGTGAGGGGCAGGGGGACGCGGTGGGGTGGAGGGCTTGGGGCTGCGCTGAGTAGAGAAGCCTGTTCCAAACAAGCTCTTTTATCCCTCCCCATCTCTCTCTCCAGGTCAAAATATGAAGAGGACAGGAGGTGAGTGGACCAGGGGCGCAGCGGGAGCACGTCCAGATGCGACTGCCTTACAGTTGTTAGCTGAGGAGGCAAAAGGAGAGCAGTTGCAGGAGCATCCCCTTCCCGCGCTGGCCTCCAGCACGCTCTCCCCGTGCCAGGCGCACCCCCGTGGGCTCTCAGGCTGGCCCTGGGGAAGGTTGAACTGGGTGCAGCCCCCCCCGCCAGCCCCTGCCACCCCAGCTCGCCCTCATGAACCGCCTCTTGCCTTTCTTCCCTTCTCACTTGCCCTGCATCCCAGCCTGGGCATCCTCTCCTGCCTGGGGAGGGATGGACCCTCTCTCCCCTCAGAGCCCTGCGGGGTATCCCGGCCTCCCCCACCATCTCCCCTGGCCTGCTGTCGGATCTCCAGCCTCACGCTTTCCTCTTTTCCAGCTCCCCCATGGCCTTTGCCCTCAGCACGTATATGAACCACACAGGCATCCGCAGCCGGGAGCCCCGGGTGGCCGGCACCAGCGAGAAAGCCCAGTCGCTCCCGGACAGGGACAAGTGGCTGCCTTTCTTCCCCAAGACCAAGAAGGTGGGTGGCTTGCTGGCAGCCTCTCCTCTGCCCCCGGGGCCAGGGTTTTGCTGCTGGAGGGAGGGGCTTCTCCGGAGATCCCCGTCTCCCCCCATGCCTTGGAGAGCCACTTAGTGCCAGGGCAGAGCCGGCTCCCGGCCCCATCCCTCCCCCGAAGGCTCGTGCGGCGGCGGTCACCCAGCGGGGTGAAGGTTGGGGACACCCCCGGGGCCCGCGTGGTGACCTGTGTTTTTATCAGTGCTCCTCTCGGGCGTCCCAACAGAGCAGCAGCACGAAGAAGGACAAGGACGCCATGGAAGACAAGAAGCGCAACCCTATCCTCAAGTACATTGGGAAGCCCAAAATCTCCTCCCAGAGCAGTGAGTGTCGGGACTTTCTGGGGTGCTGTACCCGCCAGCCTCCCTGCTGCCTGGAGATGGGCAGCCGTCTGCGTGGCCGGGGCTGGTGGGGCACCCGTGGGACTCCCGTTTGCCGGGTGGCAGGCACTTCACATCAGCCACCCTCCGCTCTCCTCCAGCTGCTCGTTGGAAACCCGTTGTCTCACCCGTCCGTGCTCCCACGTGGCTTTGAGGGGAGCTGGAAGGGAGCAGAGCCGGGCTCTGCCCCCAGATTTATCTCCTCTACCCAATCCCACAGGCTTCCAGGCTGCTCGATGTGTCGTAAAAGTGCCACAGCCCCTGAGGGGGGTCTGAAGTGGCAGAGAGCAAGTGTGTACACGTGTGTGTGTGTGTGCGCACGCACATGTGTGTGTACACGTGTGTGCTTGTGTTCCTCTTCCTCCCCTTCCGCTTTGAGTTCTCATGCCGTTAGCTCACACGTTCCCTCTTTGCCTCCTTCGTTGCTGAAATGCAGGATTGATTTGACATCTCATTTTTGTTTTTCCTTTCAGCATTTCATGTCCCTTTGTCCCCTGTTGAAGGTAAAAGGCCTCTTCTTTTGTTTGCCATTCACCTCCCATGCTTAGTTTTATTTTCTCCCCCTCCCCCAGCTACCCCAGCGTTGGTTGCACCGGGTGTTGGGGTGGGCTCGGTTGGGTGCCGTGGGGTCTGGGAGGAGGGCTGCCTGCCCTGGCCGTTCCCACCCAGCGCTCGGGCGTCCCGGGCGCCCGCCCAGCACATCTCCCCGAGGAAGCTGCCAGTCCCCTCGGTGAGCGGGCGCGATGCCACTGACACCTTCACCTCCGCAGCCCGGGCTGGATGGCACAGCCCGCTCTCACTGGGGTTCCTTCCTCTCTTGGCGCCCCAGCAGTCAAACCCGGCAACGTGAGGAACATCATCCAGCACTTTGAGAACAACCAGCATTACGAGAGCCAGGAGCCCGGCACCCAGCGCCTCTCCACCGGCAGCTTCCCCGAGGACCTGCTGGAGTCGGACGGGTAAGGCAGAGGGATGCGTGGGGGCCAGCCCGTGTTTTTGAGGGTCCCGCCGCAGGTTTTGGTGGGGTTGTGCGCGTGGGGCTGTCCCTGCCTGTCCCACCAGGCTCAGCCTGTTCTCGGCTTTGTCTCCTTGCCGCAGTTCCCGCGCCGAGGTCAAGCTGGGCCGCTCGGAGAGCTTGAAAGGCCGGGAGGAGATGAAGAAATCCCGGAAAGTGGAAAACGTGCCTCGGTCCCGTAGCGATGTGGACATGGATGCGGCGGCCGAGGCCACGAGGCTTCACCAGTCGGCATCATCTTCTGCTTCCAGCTTGTCTACAAGGTGGGAGACGCCGTCCGAGCCCCGGGCAGGGAGGGCCTGGGTTCCCCTGGGCATGTTTGGCCTCGAAGGAGAGCTGGGACAGCCGCGGGTCTGAAAGCTGAACCCCTTGGGCTGAGACACTCTCTTGGGAAAGCTTTTGCTAAGCCTGTGGCCAAGCCCCAGCCACGCAGAACTGGGTGGTCCTGGCCCCACAGCACCCAGCAGAGCCTCCTAGCCAACGTTTGCCAAGAGAAAAACGGAGAGAATTAGGGTTTAATCCCCATTTGTGCCCCTAACGCCTCTCGCCGCCGACCCACGTCTGGAGGGGCTTATGGAAACTCTGCTGGGTGCTGTCCCGCGGGGTGCAGTGATGGGTGGAGGGGGGGGGTCAGGACATCAGGACACGAGGATGACTCTCCCATCTCTCCCCAGGTCGCTGGAAAATCCCACCCCTCCATACACGCCGAAGATGGGACGCAGGTGAGTGGCCCAGCCCTGGTCTCTGCCGTCTCTACCGCGCCGCCCCGAGCCGGCCGGGGTCCCCGGGGCCAGTTTTCCTTCAGAGCAGGAGCGTCACTGTAGGGGTGTGCCGGGGCTGTGCCCCCCACTTTTGGGGGGGTCAGAGGGGCTCCATCTGTGCCTTCCTAGCTTTTCCTTCCCCGTAAGTGAGCCTTGACAGAGCACAAGGGGAGGCGATGCCCAGGGCTGCCCCGGGAGGGAGTCCCCTGTTAGTTCTTCATCCTCCTGGGGCGAGGGGGCACCTCTGTTCCCTTGTGTCTCACACAGGAGCTTAAAGGACCTATATAGATGTCTGCTGGGGGACGTAGTCTTTTAGCTCAAGAGTCAGAGGCTTGTACTTCTTGTGCTGAAGGCCCCGGGTTCAAGCCGAAATAGGGCCCAGGTAGATATTGGCTGTACTGGGAGCGCTGCGGGGTGGGCTGGCTGGATGCGGGTGGCTGCAGACTACTCCCACCGCCGCCTTTCACCCTCCCAGGAGCATCGAGTCGCCCAGCCTGGGTTTCGGTGTGGACCCCTTCCTGCCTCATCTCCTGGAGGACGAGCAAGGCCAGCTCTCCGACTTAGAGCCCGAGCTGGACTCCCAAAACTGGCAGCACACGGTCAGCCGGGAGCTGGTGGCCAACCTGCCGCAGAAGGAGATCGACCGGCAAGAGGTGATCAACGGTAAGGAGCACGGGGCACCCCGGGGACGTGAGGGAACCACCCCCCACCCCCCCCCAACCCCGGCAGCGCGCCCCAGCACCGTGGGACTCCCCTGGGCACTTCTCCACCCCTGTGCCTTTCGCACAGAGCTCTTTGCCACCGAAGGGTCTCACCTCCGCATCCTCCGAGTCCTCGACCTCCTCTTCTACCAGCGGATGAAGAAGGAGAACCTGCTGTCCCGGGAAGAGCTGGCGCTCCTCTTCCCCAACCTCCCTGACCTGATAGAAATCCACAGTAAGCTTCTTCCCGCTCGGATCCTGCTTTTCCCTGGAAATACCCGCCCTGCGCTGGGGAGCAGAGGGCGGCCCACGGCTGCCCGGGGCTCCTGAGTGATCACCCACGATTCGGACCAGCCGTGCCGAGGGCATCAAACCGCGTTGTCACGCCGGCCTCTCCTTTCCCTCTCCTGGGAGCAATCCAGAGCCTGTTTTTTTCCGGGCTCTGCCCACGTCCCGTGTCTGGGACACCCGCTGCGTACCAGCCCTTGGTGTAGCACACTTTGAGGACACGCTTTTGGTGTCACACTCCTTGACACACTGCGTCCATGACGGCAGCAGTCGAAGCCCATTCAGCTCTTGGCCCCTCCTGCCTGCACCGGTGCCGGAGAGCTGGCAGGGACCCTCCGGGACAGGCTGGGGCTTGCACAGACAAGTGGTGGATGGCCCCAGCACCCCGTTCACATGAATCCTGTCTGTCCCTCACATCCTCATTCAGATTCTCTCTCCGAATCCATGAAGAAGCTCCGGGAAGAAGGACCAATCATCAAAGAAATTGGGGATCTCATGCTGTCTCGGGTAAGGCCGAGGGGACAGGGGTGGTAGAGCCCTCGGGGACATTTTGTTCTCCAGCGTTGTCATCTTTAAGGGGAGGTGGAGGTGACCCCACTGTCACGCTGTCCTCTGGCCGTGGCTCCCCTCGGAGCTCAGGGAGACTCGGGGCTCAGGACTGAGCCCCGGGGGTGCCTGAGCCTCGTTCTCCCCTGCACACCCCCCCCCCAGTTCGACGGCCTGGCCAAAGAGGAAATCCAGCAGGTCGCTGCTGACTTCTGCTCTTACCAATCCATCGCCCTAGAGCTGATCAAAACCAAGCAGCGCAAGGAGACCCGTTTCCAGATCTTCATGCAGGTTTGTCCCTCTCCTGGGCAGTTCCTCGCCCCGGTGCTCCCCGGCTTCCCCCGATCCCACCTCGGGGCTTTCGCCCTCTTCCCTCCACCCCAGGAAGCAGAAAGCAATCCGCAGTGCCGGCGCCTGCAGCTCAAGGATTTGATCATCTCCGAAATGCAGCGCCTGACCAAGTACCCGCTGCTGCTGGAGAACATCATCAAGCACACTGAGGGTAGGGGCTGGGGGGGGGCCCACGGGGGGGGCTTGTCCCCAGGGTCACTCGGATGAGTGCTCCCACCTCCAGCACGTCCTTCGGCTGGCGGGAGGCGATGGCTTTCTGCCGTGGGGCTCGTGCCTCTGCGTTGCCATCCAGAGCAAAATCCCAGGGCGGTGGGGAGGGTGTGCTGCCTTTCCAGCAGAAAGAGCCAGATCAGGGCGGGTCTTGGGGGTGGGAAAATCTCCCCTCTCCTCATCAGGGAGCTCTGGGCCGGTGATGTTTTGTGCCTGGGGTGCAGCTGGGAGCTTGTCGCAGTGGGATGGGGACAGCCCCATCTCCTCTGCGTCCTGCTGACCCCGCTCTCCGCCGTGCCCAGCGGGCACCTCGGAGCACGACAAGCTGTGCCGAGCCCGGGATCAGTGCCGGGACATCCTCAAGTACGTGAACGAGGCGGTGAAGCGAGCGGAGAACCGGCACCGGCTGGAGGGCTACCAGAAACGCCTGGATGCCACCTCGCTGGAGAGGACCAGCAACCCCCTGGCTGCTGAGTTCAAGGTAGCCCCAGCTCCCGAGCAGTCTGGGGGAGGCGGGGGGGCTGGTGTGGGGGGGCTGCCCGGCCCCGGCCCACGCTCCCCACTGCCCTCGGCTTCCCGCAGAGCCTGGACCTCACCTCCCGGCGCATGATCCACGAAGGGCCGCTCACCTGGCGCATCGGCAAGGACAAGACAGTGGGTACGGACCTTCCCCATTGCCTGGTGCTGGGAGCGCTGGGAGACCTGCCTCAGCGTCCCCCCAGGACGTGGGCGTTGAACCCCCAGCCCCAGTGGCATTTACAGGGACCCTCTTAGTCACCTTTTTGCCATATCTGCCAGGTCGTCATCCCCTCTCGAGCTGCAAGGAGGGAGCTTTCCCTGGCTTGCGAGCGCATCCCCGGCTTGAGCCTCCACTCTCTTGTCTCCTCTCCCACCCCCCAGACCTGCACGTGCTGCTCCTCGAGGACCTCTTGGTGCTGCTGCAGAAGCAGGACGAGAAACTGGTGCTCAAGTGCCACAGCAAGACGGCGCTGGGCTCTTCGGACAACAAGCAGACCTTCAGCCCCGTCCTCAAGCTCAACTCAGTGCTCATCCGCTCTGTGGCCACAGGTGGGGAGGAGCCGGGGGGGGGCTGGCAGTGTCCCACGTCACCGGCCGGTGTGACAGAGGTGCCGGTGGGTCGGGTTAAAGCCTTTGCTGTGCTCTGACCTTCCTCGTCGCTCTGCGTCACCCCACACGCAGATAAACGAGCCCTCTTCATCATCTGCACGTCGGAGTTGGGACCCCAGATCTATGAGCTGGTGGCGCTGACATCCTCGGAGAAAAACACGTAAGGCGCGGCGGGACGGGTCCTGGCAGCGAGGGGCAGTGCCTGCCCCGGGGCAGGGGCTTCTCTGGCGGGGAAGCAGCCCCCCCACCCCGCCAGGGAGCTGATACGGGGCTCTGGGCCGGGCAGGTGGATGGAGGTGCTAGAGGAGGCGGTGCAGAGTGCCACGAGGAATGCCACCTTCCCCCCCCAAGCGCCGGACGCCGGAGCCCACCCGCGCAGCACCCTCCGGGTGAGCAACCCAGCCCTCGCTGGGAGCCAGGATCCTAACCCCAGTCCTGTGCTGGTGGGCGCTGGGGGAGGAGAGCAACTGGCTTTTCCTGGAAGGCGTTTGGGCTGGAGACAAGGATCCTCCTTGGTCACTGGGGACCTGGGTGTGGCTGTCGGGGCGCCCAGCACCTTGTGGCGGGGTTTGGGCAACCCCTGGCTCCTGCCTAACACCCCTTCTCCCTCGCAGCCTGGTGTTACAGGACCCCGACGTCTCCCCCATTTTGTCCCGAGGCACCAGCTCTGGAGCGGAGGCAGAGGACTCCTCCTCAGGTGAGCGACACCCCCCCCCCCCCCCCCCGCAGCCCCCCAGCCCTGCCTGCTGCTCGCTGCCTGCACCTTGCCCATCTTTCAGGGCCAGGCCGTAGGTCTGAGCTCCCCGCTTCTCCCCGCAGCAGACGACAATCCCTCCACGCTCCTGGGCAGGGAGAAGCCCCCCACGCTGCTGGAGGAGCCGGTGAGCAGCGAGGTAGAGGAAGAAGAGGAAGAGCTGCCCACAGCCCCCCCGCCCGATGTGGAGGCAGCTGACACCCTCCCAGCCAAACGCCCGGGACCCCCCACCCGCCTGCTGCTCCCGGGGCCCGTCGGCATGGAGGGGCTGGCCGAGGCAGCGCTGGAGGATGGTGAGTGCTATGGGGGGGGGGGGGGGGGGGGCTCTGGCAGGGAACCCACCCCTGCCACGTTTCCAGAGGGGGGAGCTGAAGCCCAAAACCACCTCTTCCTCCCCGCCCCCCCCATCCCAGTGGAGAACCTGCGGCTCCTGATCCTTCGGAGGCTCCTGCCGTGCCGGGACGCAGAGCCTGAGGATGACCTGACGCCCACGCCGTCGGTCATCGGGGGTGCTGGCCAGGCCTGGGACTCGGTGCTTTCCAGTCAGGATTCGGCCTCCCAGGAGGTGCTGGCAGAACCCCCGAGCGCCGCCGAGGACGCCAAACCCCGGTCGAGCCGGGAGGAGATGGACGAGACGGGTCCAGCAGCCGAAGAGCCGAGCGGCTACAAAGTCGTCCGAAAAGGTAGAGGGGTGACGGCGAGGGTCCTCGGCCGGGCAGGGTGGGGGGGCCAGGCGCTGGGGACCCCCTCTCCTCTCCTTGAGCTCCCCCTCGCTGGGATTTGGGGTCTCGCTCCCTGCTTGCCTGCATGAGCTTCGCTGGGTCAGAGCTGGGGGGTTTCATGGGGGGGGGGGGGGCCAAGGGGTGCGGGTGAACACACCCCCACACACCCACCCCCCCCCTCTTGTGTGCACCCCAGGGATCTGGGGGCTCTGATGGGTGCTGGTATTGGGGTGCTGGTGGCAGGATGCTGTTGGGTGCTGGTGATGGGTGCCGGTGGCGGGGCCTGCTCACCCCTTCCCTCTCCCTCCCCCCTCTCTTTTCGGGGTGCACAGCCCAGGCGGAGGGTGCTAAGGAGGCCACGCCCTTGCCAGGCAGCAGCCAATCAGAAACTGAGCTGCAGGAAGGAGGCGGAGCTAATGTAGATGGTAAAGAGTCATGTCCCCCCCCCCCCCATCCCCTCCCGAGACCTCGCAGGGTGTCCCCGTGTCCCCAGGAGGGCCAGGGTCCCTTTTCCCCACGAAGGGGATGCCCTCGTGTCCCTTGAGGGGGACATGTGTCCCTGGCAGGGGGGACAGTGTCATTTGGGAGGAACTGTCCCCGTGCGAGGCGGGTTGGGGGGGCGGGGGGGGGGGACACACCCAGACAGGACCACGTCCCTGAGGACTGTCCCCATGGCCGAGGACACCCAGTGCCACCAACACCCACCCGAGCAGGTCCCTGCGCCACTAACGCTGCTCGTCCCCTCTGCAGGCAACTACTTCTACGTCAGCATGCCGGCGGGACCCCCCCAGCCCGCGGCCCCCGCGCCACCCCCCAGCCCCCCACAGGAGGCACCCGCCCGTCCCAGCCCCACCGAGGGGTCCCCGGACCCCCCAGCTCCCCTCCGCGACGTGGACCTCATCTTCCGCACCATCGAGCAGCTGACGCTGAAGCTCAACAGGCTCAAAGTGAGCACCCCCCACCCCCCTTTTCCCCCCACACACCCCCCCCCCCCCAAATTAGGGGCGGGGGGGGGGAGCCCATGAGGGTGTCGTGGAGGTGGGGGCTGTGACCCCAACCCTGCGCCCACCCCTCTGACCTGGCACCCTTTCTCCCGGGCACCCTCCAGGCTGTGGAATCAGCCCACCGGGAGCTGCTGCGGTCCCTGGGGCGCAGCTCCTCGGCCGACGTCACCCCCCTGGGGGGCTCAGCCCCGGAGGTGGACGGGTGGGCCCAGCGGCCCCCCAGCCCCGACGGTGACAGCCCCTTGTCCCGCGCCCTCCGGACCCTGCAGGGCCCCATCACCAACGCCCCAGGTAAGACCCACACCCACGCAGCGCTCGTGTTCCCCTGCCCCCCCCCCCCAGCCCCTCCAAACCGTGCCCCCTCCAGCCCCTCACCCCATTTTCCACCCCCCCCCCCCCCGCTCTCTTCCAGGCTCCAGAGCCCCCCTCGCCGAGGACCCCGCTCACGACGCCGGCCTTTAGCCACAGCGGGGAGGGGGGGGGGAGGTGGGGTGTCTTCCCCCCTCCCCTACAGAGTCTCTCAAAGCCAGGGAGCTGCCCAACAGCCCCCACTGTGCCCCGGCAGCCGTGGGAGCCTCCCCCCCCCGCCCAAAATCGCTGGGGGCTTCAGCTGGAAGGAGGGAGCACAATCCGGCGGGGCCAGCAGCCGGGGTGTGTGTGTCCCCCCCCTCACTCCTTCGCATGGCAGCCCTGGCTCGGCCCCCCCACCCCACCCCACGCCCCCCCCCACCCCCCCCGGCCGTGAGAGCTGGATCTAGTCTGTATAAATGCACTTTGTTCTGTTCCTCTCCGTGCTGCGGCCCCCTCCCCGCTCCCCGCTGCCTATAAATATGTACGTACGTGCACCCCTCCTGTAAATAACCACCGCCGGCCCCCCCCCCCACCCGCCCCCCCCCCCCCAGCCAGAGACGGGGATGGGGTGGGGGTGGGGGGGGACAGCGAGGACGCCCCAAGCACCGGGCTCTCCTCCCTGGCTGCCGCCGGTGACAATCGGTGACCCGAGGGGGCGGCTGGGGAGCCAGGGCGACGGCCGGGGCGCGTCCCACCTCCGCTCCCCCCCCCAGCCCTTCTCCCCCTCCCAGGGCGTCACGGCGAGGCCAGCGCTGGGGTGTCTGATATATATATTATATATAATAGAGCCAAGACTGACCAGTTGCTGTTCGATGCTGTATAATCTGGTTTGTTTTCCTTCCCGTGGTAAAACTTTTTTTTACGCCCCCGACTCCCGCTCCTCCTCTTGGCTTTTGAGGAGGGGGTCGAGCGGCGGCAGCAGCTCCTGGAGCCGCGCGAAAGCCGGGCTGGGGGGAGGGATGCGGTTTTTCTGCGAGGAAGCGGGGTGTCAGGCCCTGCCCCACACGGAGCTGCCAGCCCCACGGCCGGCCCCACAACTCACCTCCAGCGACAGGCACAGCAGCCCCTCTTTCCCCGGCACTTTCGGCTGCTTCTCCTGCTGCTGCCTCTCCAGCGCTGCCAGGAACGCGCCCAGGCCCCGCTCGGTGATGTGGTTGTCTGCAAAAGGAGGGGGGTGGGGGGGTCACAGACAAGCCCGGCAGAGCTTGGGGGGGGGGGAAAAGGGGGCATTAATGGGGCTGAGCCCCCCACCTCCCTCCCTCACAGGTCAGGTTGAGGTTGAGGAGCGCCCGGTTTCCCGGCAGGACGACGCTGCCCTGGCTCTGCCTGGCTTCATCCAGCAGCGGCCGCGGCGGCGCGGCCGGATCCGGCGCCTGGACACGGGAGGGGGTGTGGGACCCCAAAGTTGGGCACACCCCCCCCCCACCCTCCACCCCATCCCCCCAGCATCCCCCCCACCTCCGGGCTCAGCTTCTCCTGGCTGCTCAGTTTCGCTTCTCTGCCACGGGCGCCTCTCGGCTCCGGCGCTGCCGGGAGGGGGACAGCAGGGAGGGAGCTGAGCCGGGCACAGCCCCCCCTCCATGCCACCCCCCCCAGCCCCTGGGACCCTCACTCACCCTTCTTGGGCTGCCTGGCCTCCTCCTTCCGCGCCGGCTCCTGCAATGGAGGGGGCAGTTGGGGACCCCCTGCCTCCCCCCTCCCTGCACCGAAGAGCTGGAAGGGTGGGGAAACTGAGGCACGCCTAGGGGCAGGCCCCCCCCCCCCCCCCCCAACTTCCTCACCTTCTTTTTGGAGGGGGGTTTGCCAGACTTGGCCGGGGGCAGCTTGTCGTTGGTCATGCTGCTGCGGCGGCTGGAAAATTGCTCGCTCTGGCTCTCGGTTTCTTTTGAGGTCTGGGGGTTGGGGAGGGGGCGGGGGAGAGGGGTGCTCAGGGTGCTGGCAGCCCTCCCCCCCCCCCCCCCCCACCCGGAGCCACCGGCCTTTTCTGGAAAGGAGGGGTCGGGGCGGGGAGGTGGGGGTCTCACCGTGCGGGACCGTCCCAGCGCCTCCGCCAAGAGCAGCCGCCTCCGCTCCACCACTTCGGCGTGCGTCAGCGCGAAGGGGCCCAGCACCTGGCAGGCAGCGGGGCTGGGGTCAGGGCAGGATCCGGCCCCCAGCCCATGCACCCCACTCCCCAGAAATTATTGGGGAGGGGGGGGGGACGACGACGGCACACCCACCTCAGCGAGCTTGATGGCCCCCGCGTCCCCGATGTCGTTGCTCGCCAGGGACAGGGAGAGCAGGGAGCGGTTCAAGCGCAAGCCCTGGAGGAGCGAGCGAGGGGTGCTGGGGTGCTGAGCACCCAGCTGTGCCCCCCCCCCCAGCCCCCCCCCCAGCCCACCTCGGCGATGTAGCCGGCTCCCAGGTCCGAGATGCGGTTGAAACTGAGGACGAGCGAGACGAGGCTGCGGTTGGAGGAGCTCGGGGTGGAAAGGCTCTGCCCGATGAGCCGGGCGGCCGCGTCCCCGATGCTGTTGTTGCGCAGCGAGAGGTGGGCCAGCCTGCAGGACGGGGGTTGGGGGGGGGGGGGGGGGGTCACGATGGGTTTGGGGACCCTGCGGCGGGGGTTCTGGGGTGGGACACACACACACACACACACACGATCTGGCTCTGACTCACGTGCTGTCGCTCCCCATCAGCGTGTGGAAGGCGGGTTCGGGCAAAGGGTTCCCCTCTAAGCTGAGCGTCCTGCGGAGGGAAACCCCGTTAACCATCCTCCCCGGCACCCCCGTTCCTTAATTGGCGCTAACGAGGGGGGCCCCCCCCCTCAACAGGCTGCGTACCGCAGGCGGGGACAACGTGCCAGCAGTGCCACCAGCGCCGGGAGCAGCCGCTCCGTCAGCCCGACTTTCCAGAGGCTGCGGGAGGACAAAACGACCTGGGGATGCGCTGCCGGGGATGGGGGGGGGGACACACCCTGGTGGTTTTGGGGGGGAAGGGGGGGGGGGGGCGCTGCCTGCACCCCCATCCCTGCCTGCACTCACTGCAATGCCTGCAGGCCGGCCAGGGCGGGCAGGCACTGGCTCAGGACCCCCAGCATGTCCTCCTCGATCTTCCAGCCTGCCGGAGACGGGGAGGTCAAAGCCGCGTGTGATGGGATACAGAGCAGGGGGGGAGAGCCCCCAAATATTGCCTCACCCGACGGTGCTGACAAAACCAAGGGGGATCCCCCCCCCCAGGCTGGTTTCCAAGGGCTCCTGGGGTGCCAGGGAGATGGGGGACGGGGGGATACCCAGCACCCACCTCGCAGGAAGACGGCTGCGGACGCTGCGGGGATCCTCGTGCTCCCGCTCCGCCTGGACGCAGGGCTGGAAGTAGCTGTACTTGCGCTCGATGCCAGCCAGGACCTCCGCCAGCGTGGGCTCGGGGGGCTCCTCTGCGGGACGGGGACCCCACTGGCACATTGAGTCTTTCCCCCCCCAGCCCCCCTGTACCCCAGTATCCCCCCCCGGCCCCGCTCACCGTCCTCGGGGAAGCTCGGGGATGGCCGCGGGGTGACTTTGGGGACGGCGGCGATGCCAGCCCGGGCGCAGAGCTCGGGAAAATCCTGCTCCAAGAGGCCGGTGCACTGGTACTCCTCTGCGGGCGGGGCAGGCAGGAGGTGGAGCGGGGGGGACCCTCCCCACGGACCCCCCAACCCACTCCAGGCGCTCACCTGCGCCCTGCTCGGCCTTCCTCCCCGCGCTCTTCATCTCCTCCTCCGCAGCCGCCACCGCCACCTTCTCCCTGGGCGCCCGCTCCCCCCGCCGCCTCATGACCCACAGCTGGGGGGGGAGGTGGGGGGGCTCAGCGCCCCCTTCACCCCCCTCCAGCACCCACCGGACCCAGGGCTGGCCCTACCCGGCACCCCGACCCCCTGCATCCCGGTGGGGTCCCTGTATGGGTGATGGGGGGGGGTCCCAGGGCTTGGGGGCCCTATGGGGATCCCTGTGTGGGTATGGGGGGGGGGTCTCTCTTGGTTGGGAGTGCCTATGGGGTGGGGGTCCCTGGAAGGGGATAGGGGTGTCCCAGTGGCAGGGGGTGATGGAGGGACACCCTTTGGGGGGGGTGTTCCTATGGGAGTCTCCCTGGGGGGTGTCTAAGGGGGTCCCTATAGAGGCCTCCCTGGGGGTTCTCAGGCCTGGGGGCACTATGCGGGGGGGGGGGAGGGAGTGTTTGTCCTTATGGGGGGCCTAGAGGGGGGTCCCGGGCGCGGAGGGGTCCCTATGGGGGGGGTGTCTCCCTTGAGGAGCCCCGGGGGGGGGTCCCGGGGCTGGAAGGATCCCTATGGGGGGGGGGGTGGTTCCCCGGGGGGTCCCGGTCCCGGTTGTACCCTCGGTCCCTCGGGCTCGGCCCGACCCCAACCGGCACCGCCGCGGGGGGGCGGGGCCTGGGGTTGCTGTGGCGCCGGCGCGGGGCGGGGCCTGGGCGGGGCCGGGGGGCGCAGTGGGCGGGGTTATCCCGGAACGGGCGGGGTGTGGAAGAAGAGGCGGGGCCCGTGAGGAAAGGGGCGGGGTCTGCGCCGAAGGGGCGGGGCCTCCACCGCGACCACCCGGGCACTGGGCAGCGATGCGGGGAGCACTGGGACCTTACTGGGGACATCCCTGGGACCTGACTGGGGACATCCCTGGGACCTGACTGGGGACATCCCTGGGACCTTACTGGGGCCATCCCTGGGACCTGACTGGGGACATCCCTGGGACCTTGCTGGGGACATCCCTGGGACCTTGCTGGGGACATCCCTGGGACCTTACTGGGGCCTCACTGGGACCTGACTGGGGACATCCCTGGGACCTTACTGGGGACATCCCTGGGACCTTACTGGGGACATCCCTGGGACCTTACTGGGGCCTCACTGGGACCTGACTGGGGACATCCCTGGGACCTTACTGGGGCCTCACTGGGACCTGACTGGGGACATCCCTGGGACCTTACTGGGGACATCCCTGGGACCTTACTGGGGACATCCCTGGGACCTTACTGGGGCCTCACTGGGACCTGACTGGGGACATCCCTGGGACCTTACTGGGGACATCCCTGGGACCTTACTGGGGCCGCACTGGGACCTTACTGGGGCCTCACTGGGACCTTACTGGGGACATCACTGGGACCTTACTGGGGCCTCACTGGGACCTTACTGGGGCCGCACTGGGACCTGACTGGGGCCGCACTGGGACCTGACTGGGGCCGTCATTGGACTGTCCCTGGATCTTTACTGGGGCCGTCACTGGGCCTTTACTGGTGCTTTTCTCATCCCGTCACTGGGCCCAGCACCGAGTCTGTCCCTGCTGCCACCCCCGGCCCCACCCCTGGGCCCACCCTGGCCCCGTCCCGCTCCCCGGCCACAGGCAGCCCCGGCTCATTCCGCACCGACAACCCCTTTATTCACCGCCCGCACCCCCGAGCTCGGGGACAGGGACAGGCCTGGGGCACCCCGGCCCCTCCCGGGGGGGGGGGGGGGCGGGGGGGTCCCCCTGTCCCTTGTCCCCACGGTCCCTCAGCGGTCCTTCCTGCGCAGCGGGGGGGACGGCGGGCAGTGGCGGACGGGTGGCATGTCGTAGTGGCTGGGGATGTGGCTGTTCTTGGGGGAGTCGTAGTGGCTGGGGGGGGCTGGGGGGGTGACACCTTCGGCCCCGCCGGGACAACTCTCTGCAGGGACAAGGGGAGGCTGCAAGGGGCCGTGTGTGTCGTCGTCCCCCCCCCCCCCAGGGCCATATGACCTCTGGCACTGAGGCCATGTCCCCCCCATGCAGGCAGTGTCCCCCCCCAGGGCCATGTCAACCCCATCACCATGGCTGTATCCCCCCCCCCGTGCCACCACCATCACAGGGGCCATGTCCCCCCCATAGCCAGGGCCATGTCCCCCCTCTCGCCAAGGCCAAGCCCCCCCCATCACTGGGGCCATGCCCTCCCCATGTCCCCCTTGTCACTGTGGCCATGTCCCCCCCATGTAGCCCCCATCACCAAGGCCATGTCCCCCGCCATGTCCCCCCTGTCACTTTGGCCATGTCCCCTCCGTCACCATGGTCATGTCCCCCCCCATATGCTCCCTGTCACTGAGGCTGTGTTCTCCCCATGTCCCCCCCATCATCGTGGCCATGTCCCCCCATGTCCCCTCCCCCCACCGAGGCCATGTCCCCCCCATGTCCCCCCTGTCACTTTGGCCATGTCCCCCCCATGTAGCCCCCAACACCAGGGCCATGTCCCCCCCATATCCCCCCTGTCACTGTGGCCATGTCACCCCCATGTCCCCCCCATCACCGAGGCCATGTCCCCTCTGTCACCGTGGCCATGTCCCCCCCATGTAGCCCCCATCACCAAGGCCATGTCCCCCCCATATCCCCCCTGTCACTGTGGCCATGTCCTCCCCATGTCCTCCCCATCACCGAGGCCATGTCCCCCCCACCCCCCATGTTCCCCCTGACACTTTGGCCATGTCCCCCCCATCACCATGGTCATGTCCCCCATGGGGCCATGCCCCCCCATCACCAGGGCCGTGGCCCTCCCCAGGCCGGGCTCAGGGGGGCCAGGGGACCCCCCCGGCCGTACCCTCCTGGGGCGGCTCCTCCAGGACCCCGATCTCGGCGTAGGACATCTCCCGCCGGACTGGGGATTTCATCTCCATGTAGCTGCCCTCGGGGGCCCTCCCGGGGCCGGGGGGCAGCTCCTTGATGGTGGCGTAGGGGTTCTCACTGGCCAGGGAGCTGGTGCTGATCCCCAGCCCCTCCGGGGAGGGTTCTGGGGGGAGAAACACTTGGGGGGGCTCCCCATGGCAGGGGGCGCAGGGGAGGGAGCAGCCGTGGCCAGCTGTGGCCCAGGCAAGTCCTGGCCCTTCCCCACCCCAGCCCTGTCCCTTCCCCAGCCCACCCCCGCCTCTTCCTCATCCCCATCCCTTCCCATTTTCCCCCTCATCCCACCCCCTAGCCCATCCCATCCCTATCCCCATTCCCTCCGCATCCAATTCCAGCCCAGTTCCATCCCATTCCACCTCTGCCTCTTCCTCAGCCCACCCCCCTCCCTTCCCCACCCCACCCCAAGCCCATCCCCACCCTTTTCCCATTCCCATCCCTTCCCTGTAGCTCCCTCATCGCACCCCCATCCCATCCCCATCCCCATCCCATCCACACCCAATCCCAGACATGTTTCATTCCCATCCTTTTCCCATCCCCATCCCCATCCCTTCCCTGTATCTTCCTCATCCCATCCCCATCCCATCCCCATCCCATCCTTTTCCCATCCCATCCCCATCCCATCCTTTTCCCATCCCATCCCATCCCATCCTTTTCCCATCCCATCCCCATCCCATCCTTTTCCCATCCCATTCCCCCCCCCAGCCCACCCCGTACCTTTGCCCTTGTACTTCCCCAGGCTGCAGCTGTAGCTCCGGTCCAGCTGCCCCCCTGGAACGGGGCACGTTTGGGGTCCCCCCCCCTTTTGCTCCACCCCATGAACATCCTCCACCCACCTCAGCACCTTCCCAGTGGATCCTGCGGGGTCCCAGCTGTGCACCCCACTCCCTCCAAGGTCCCCACCAGCTCCCAGGGAGCTGCCCCCAACTTGATCCCCCCCCCCCCTCCCTTCCCCTTACCCCGGGGGGCCAGAGCCGGTGCCCCGAGGTGCTTCCAGTCGGGAGGCAGCGTGGCGTTGCCTTCGGGGCCGGGGGGTCTCTCTGTGCCGGGGAAGAGCGGGGTGCCGGGTGCCTGGAGCCCAAAGGGGACAGGCTGGCTACGAGGCTGCGGGTAGCCGTGCCGTGCTGCACCGTGCAACACCATGCTGCGCCTCGGTACACTGTGCAACACCACATGCACAGCCATGCAGCACTGTGCTGTGCCACAGCACACGGTGCAACACCACGGCACGCCGCGCAACACCGTGCTGCGCCACGACGCGTTCTGCCAGACCATTATGGTGCACCGTGCAACACCCTCCGGCACCGTGGTGCGCTGTGCAACACCGCGCCGTGCTGCACCATCACGGTGCACCGTGCAACACCATGCAGCACCGTGCAACAACCCAGTGCACCCTGCAACACCGTGCAGCAGCATCACGGTACACTGTGCAACACCGTGCTGCACCACACAACACCACAGTGCACCGTGCAACACCGTGCTGCGCCACGACACATTCTGCCAGATCATTATGGTGCACCGTGCAACACCCTCCGGCACCGTGGTGCGCTGTGCAACACCGCGCCGTGCTGCACCATCACGGTGCACTGTGCGACACCATGCAGCACCGTGCAACACCCCAGTGCACACTGCAACACCGTGCAGCAGCATCACGGTACACTGTGCAACACCGTGCTGCACCACACAACACCACAGTGCACCGTGCAACACCGTGCTGCGCCACGACGCGTTCTGCCAGACCATTACGGTGCACCATGCAACACCCTCCGGCACCGTGGTGCGTTGTGCAACACCGCGCCGTGCTGCACCATCACGGTGCACCGGGCAACACCATGCACCACCGTGCAACAACCCAGTGCACCCTGCAACACCGTGCAGCACCATCACGGTACAATGTGCAACACTGTGCTGCACCATGCAACACCACAGTGCACCCTGCAACACCGTGCAGCACCATCACGGTACAATGTGCAACACCGTGCTGCACCACACACCACCACAGTGCACCGTGCAACACCGTGCTGCGCCACGACGCGTTCTGCCAGACCATTATGGTGCACCGTGCAACACCCTCCGGCACCGTGGTGCGCTGTGCAACACCGCGCCGTGCTGCACCATCACGGTGCACCGGGCAACACCATGCAGCACCGTGCAACACCCCAGTGCACCCTGCAACACCGTGCAGCACCATCACGGTACAATGTGATACACCATGCTGCACCACACAACACCACAGTGCACTGCGTGGCACCATGCTGTGTGATGCCACACCGTGCCACGCAGCACCATCGTGGTGCACTGTGCAACACCATAGTGAACCGTGCAACACCACGACGCATTCTGCCAGACCATTATGGTGCACCGTGCAACACCCTCCGGCACCGTGGTGCGTTGTGCAACACCGCGCCGTGCTGCACCATCACGGTGCACCGGGCAACACCATGCAGCACCGTGCAACACCCCAGTGCACCCTGCAACACCGTGCAGCACCATCACGGTACAATGTGCAACACCGTGCTGCACCACACACCACCACAGTGCACCGTGCAACACCGTGCTGCGCCACGACGCGTTCTGCCAGACCATTATGCTGCACCGTGCAACACCCTCCGGCACCGTGGTGCGCTGTGCAACACCGCGCCGCGCCGCACCATCACCGTGCACCGGGCAACACCTCGGTGGTGCCGGTGGTGCCGGTTCAGGCCGTACCTTGCGGGCGCCGGGGGCCGGCAGCGGGCAGCGGGACAGCGTGGTATAGCTGGGGTTGGAGTAGTGGTGCGCGTGGTGGCTCAGTGGCACGTCTGCGGGGACAGGCATCAGCCCGGTGCCGCGGGGCCACTGAAGCCAGGGCCGCGTCCCCCGCCGCCAGCGCTCACCCGGCACCACGTAGTCCGAGGTGTCCGTCTGTCCTGCCGTGTAGGCCACGGCCAGGTGCCGGCCCTCCTTGCCCTTCTGGCGGTGGCGGTAGCACAGCGCCAGGGCCACCGCGGCCACCAGCAGGGCCACCAGGGCCACCAGGCTGAGCACCACCCCCAGCGAGCTGTAGGCTGCCGGGGGGGCCGGCACGATGGTGTAGGGCTGCTCGGGGGTCCCTGGGGACACACAGACACACACACACACACACACAGAGTCCTTAGGGGGGCACAGGGACACACACCCCCCATGTTGTGTGTGTGTGTGTCCCCCCCCCGGCTCTGCACCCACTCACCGGGCTCGCAGAGGGGCCCGATCCTGCCCGGGGCGCAAGGGCAGGTCCCGCTGGCCGGGTGGCAGGTGACGTTGTGGGGACAGCGGCAGAGCTGGTGACACTGGAGCCCGAAGGTCCCGGGGGGGCAGACTGGGGGCACAGCGGGTGGGGGAGCCAGAGCCATAGTGCCCGCGACCCTATAGCTCCATACTGGGACCCTATAGCTCCGTACTGGGACCATATAGCCCCGTACTGGGACCCTATAGCTCCATACTGGGACCGTATAGCCCTGTACTGGGACTATACAGCCCCATAGTGCCCAGGACCATGTAGCTCTATACTGGGACCATATAGCTCCATACTGCCTGGAACTGCATAGCTCCATACTGGGACCATATAGCTCCATACTGGGACCATATAGCCCCATGGTTCCCAGGACTGTATAGCTTTATATTGGGACCATATAGCTCCATACTGGTACCATATGCCTTCACACTGGGACCGTACAGCCCCATAGCACCCAGGACCATATAGCTCTATATTGGGACCATATAGCTCCGTACTGTGCAGGACTGCACGGATCCATACTGAGACCATATAGCTCCATACTGGGACCGTATTACTTCACAGTGGAACCATATAGCTCCATACTGGGACTACATGGCTTCATAGTTCCCAGGACTACGGAGCCCCATAGTGGGCCACTATAACTCCATACTGGGCCCCTATAACTCCATAGTGGGCCCCTATATCTCCATAGTGGGCCCCTATAACTCCATAGTGGGCCCCTATATCTCCATAGTGGCCCCCTATATCTCCATACTGGGCCCCTGTATCTCCACACCACCCAGAATGGAGCTGGGGTTCCCCATACAGCCCCGGGCACTTCCCTCCATCCCCAGACCCCCGGGCTCGAGCCGGGGGGTGCAGACCCAAGGAGGGGGGTGTGTTGGGGGGGGGGGGGGGGGTGTCCGTGCCAGGCTCTACCTTCCCCGCAGAACGTCCCCGTCCAGCCCGGCGGGCAGCGGCAGGTCCCCTCGGCGGGGTGACACGTCCCCCCGTGCTGGCACAGGCAGGGCTGGGCGCAGGCTTCCCCCCATGAGCCGGGGTCGCAGGCTGGAGATGTTGGGGAGTCGGCGAGGGGTGTCGGATGAAGCCAGCCCCCTTCCCCACATCACACCCCCCCCCCTCAAAAAAAAAAGGGGGGACGGGACAGGATGGGACTCACGCTGGGCGCAGCGGGGGCCGCGCCAGCCCGGGGCGCAGAGGCAGGAGCCGTTGGCGGGGTGGCAGGAGGAGCCGTTGGCGCAGGAGCAGCTCAGGGAGCAGCGCTTGCCGTAGCGGCCGGGTGGGCAGGCTGGGGTGAGATGAGTGCGCCGGGTCTCAGCCCCCGGGGAGGCCGGGGTGGGGTGGGGGGGGTGTGGAGATCAGTGAGGTTTTTTTTTAGGGGGACACACACTTACGGCGCTGGCAGGTGGGGCCGCGGTACCCCGGGGCGCAAGCGCAGGCTCCGTCTTGGGGTGAGCAAGTGGCCCCATTGCGGCAGGAGCAGGGCGTGCGGCAACCCCGGCCCCAAAAACCGGGGGGGCAGCCCTGCTTGCACTGCGGCCCTGTGAGGAGGATGAGGAGGGATGAAGGCCGAGGGCACAGCAGGGTTTTCCCCCCCCCCCCCCCGCCCCATCTTTTCCCTGGTTGCGTGTGTGTGTGTGTGTCCCCCCTCACCCCTTACCCGTCCAGCCGGGGAGGCAGCGGCACGCTCCCGTCACCGGATCGCAGCCGTCGGCGTGAGCGCAGTCGCAGCGCTGCCCGCAGCCCGCTCCGAATGTCCCGTTCTGGGGGGGTACGGGGACAGGTCAGGGAAGGGGGGGGGTGGGGGGGGCAGTACTGGAACTGATTCTGCCCCCCCCCCCCCCCCCAAGCCCCCGGTGCAGGCGGGACTCACCGCGCAGGGCTGCAGGCAGCGGGGGCCCTGCCAGCCCGGCGGGCAACTGCAGGTCCCGCTTTGGGGGTCACAAGCTGCCCCGTGGGCGCAGGCACAGGTCCGGTTGCAGCCGGGACCCCAAATACCAGCGGGACACGGGGTCGAGCAGTCGGGTCCGTGCCAGCCTGTGGGATGAAGGGACAGCGGGGTGGGCGGGGGGGGGGGGGATGACAAGGACAGGGACCACCCCCCCCCCTAAACCCCTGCGTGCACCCACCTTCCTTGCAGAGGCAGGAGCCGTCGAGGGGGGAGCAGGAGAGGGCGTGCTGGCAGGAGCAGCGCCCCGAGCAGTTCGTCCCGAAAGTGTCAGGGGGGCACAGGGAGGAGCAGTGCTCATCCTGGTGGGGGGGGGGGGGGGGAGGAGGGAGGACGGACGGGGTTGAGGGGAGACTTCAGGACAGCCAGGACCCCCACCCAGGGCTGGGGAAAGAAGCCAGGAGTTTGGGGGACCACCCAACCCTCTTGGCATCCTGGGGCTGGAGGGTGAGTGACCCCAAAACCCCATCCTCCCGTGGCACTCCTAAGCCGTCTTCAAGGTTGCCCAGACGCCCCCAATCTGCCCCCCCAAGGATGCACAATACCCATCCCCTCTCCCCAAACCCCCCCCACAAGGGATGCCCAGACCCCAAAACCACCCTAGAGATAACAAGACCCCCCAACTCAGACCCAAGGGCTGCCCAGCCCCCACACTCCCCCAAGGACCACCCAGACCCCCCCAGACCCTCATGATCCTCCAAGGACCACCCAGACCGCCCCCCCAGAACCATTCAGAACCCCATCCTCCCTCAAGGACCACCCAGACCCCCCCTCAGATCCCCCATGTTCCCCTCAGGACCACCCAGATCCCCATCCTCCCTCAAGGACCACCCAGATCCCCCCCCCCCCAGATCCCCCCTGATCCTCCATGTTCCCCTCAGTACCACCCAGACCCCCCCCCCCAGAATCACCCAGAACCCCATCCTCCCTCAAGGACCACCCAGATCCCCCCCCCCCAGATCCCCCCTGATCCCCCATGTTCCCCTCAGGACCACCCAGACCCCCCCCCCCCAGAATCACCCAGAACCCCATCCTCCCTCAAGGACCACCCAGATCCCCCCCCCCCAGATCCCCCCTGATCCTCCATGTTCCCCTCAGGACCACCCAGACCCCCCCACAGAACCATCCAGACCCCCATCCTCCCTCAAGGACCACCCAGATCCCCCCCCCCAGATCCCCCCTGATCCCCCATGTTCCCCTCAGGACCACCCAGACCCCCCCCCAGAATCACCCAGAACCCCATCCTCCCTCAAGGACCACCCAGATCCTCTCCCCCCCCAGATTCCCCCACACCCCCCATGTTCCCCTCAGGACCACCCACACCCCTACTCTCCCCCCAGGGATGCCCACACCTTGTGTGTCCCCCCCCCCCATGTTGCTCCAGGACCACCAGCCCCCCCGTGCCCCCCCGTGCCCCCGCACCGTGTAGCCGGGGGGGCAGCGGCAGTGGCCGGTGGTCCCGTCGCAGACCCCCCCGTGGAGGCAGAGGCAGGCCTGCAGGCAGCCGGCCCCGAAGGAGCCGGGGGGGCAACTCTCGTTGCAGAAAAGCCCGGCCCAACCAGGGTGACACACGCACTCCCCGAGCAACGGGTGGCAGCTGGGGGGGGGAAGGGGGGGCAGGGTACACACTCAGCACACCAGTGGGGTACTGGGTGTGATGGGAGGGGGCTTTGTAAATATGGGGGGGCACAAAGCACGTCCCTTGGGGAGGTGGGGGGCGGGGATTAACCTCTTCCAGGCTACCCAGCCAGGGTCCTGGCTTGCTTGGCAAGGATGCTGGGGGAGGTGAGGGTGTTGGGGGGGGGCAAGGATGTTGGGGGGAGGCGAGAATGTTGGGGGAAGGTGAGGATGTTGGGAGGGAGACGAGGGTGTTGGGGGGAGCAAGGATGTGGGGAGATGAGGATGCTGGGGTGGAGGTGAGGATTTGGGGGGGGGGTTGTGAGGGTGTTGGGGGGCAGGTGAGGGTGTTGAGGGGGAGGCAAAGGTGTTGGGGGGAGCAAGGATGTTGGGGGAGGCAAGAACGTTGGGGAGAGATGAGAATTTGGGGGGCAGACGAGGGCGTTGGGGGGAGGAGAGAATGCTGGGGGGATGCAACGATGTTGTGGGGAGCAAGGATGTGGGGAGATGAGGATGCTGGGGTAGAGGTGAGGATTTGGGGGGCAGGTGAGGGTGTTGAGGGGGAGGCAAAGGTGTTGGGGGGAGCAAGGATGTTGGGGGAGGCAAGAATGTTGGGGAGAGATGAGAATTTGGGGGGCAGACAAGGGCGTTGGGGGGGAGGAGAGAATGTTGGGGGGATGCAATGATGTTGGGGGGGGATGAGGATGTTGAGGGGAGCAAGGATGTGGGGAGATGAGGATGCTGGGGTGGAGGTGAGGATATTGGGGGGGGGATGTGAGGGTGTTGAGGGGCAGGCGAAGGTGTTGGCGGGAGCAAGGAAGTTGGGGGGAGATGAGAATTTTGGGGTCAGACAAGGGCGTTGGGGGGGGAGGAGAGAATGCTGGGGGGGATGCAGCGACGTTGGGGAGGAGGGGTGAGGACGCTGAGAGGATGCAGAGATGTTGGGGGGGGAGGCGAGGGTTTTGGGAAGGCGAGGGTGCTGGGGGGCATGCGAGGACGCTGAGGGGAGGCGAGGGGGTGTGTGGGAGGGGGGGGTCCCACCTCTGGCTGTGCTGGGGGTGGCAGAGGCAGCGGCTCTGGCAGCGGAGGCCGAAGAGGCCGGGCAGGCAGTGGCGGTCCTGGCAGCGGCTGCCCTGGAAGCCGGCCTCGCACAGGCAGCTCCCGTCCACGTGGAAGCACTGCCCGCCGTTGGCACAGTCGCAGCTCTCCCGGCAGTCCTGCCCGTACCGACCCACCGGGCACCTCTCCCGGCACCTGCGTACGGTGAGGGGTGGGGGGGGGACACACAAACACACACAGAGGGGTGACACAGCCCCACCAGAAGCCGAGGTGGCTCCAGGACACACACCCGCCGCAAGCTGAGGCCGGCCAGCTCGTTGCATGCCAGGCTGGGAGAGCTGGGGTGGCCCTGGGCAGCAGCGGGGCTTGGTGGCCCCGTCGCCCTGTACCCCCCCGCTATCCGTTATATCCCCATGTGCGCCCCCCCCCCTCCCCTTCCCGTGCACCCTCAGCCCCATGTATCCCTGACCCCCCAGCCCTACGCGCCCTGTCCCCAAGTGTCACAGCCCCCTGGCCCCCGTCCCCCTGTGCCCCCAACTTCCCACCCCCCCCCCAGAACTGCTCTGTCCCCCCTGTCCCCCCAACTTCCCACACCCCCCCCAGAACTGCTCTGTCCCACCTGTCCCCCCAACTTCCCACACCCCCCCAGAACTGCTCTGTCCCACCTGTCCCCCCAACTTCCCACACCCCCCTAGAACTGCTCTGTCCCCTCATCCCCCTGTGCCCCCAACTTCCCACCCCCTCCCCAGAACTGCTCTGTCCCGCCTGTCCCCCCAACTTCCCACCCCCCCCCAGAACTGCTCTGTCCCGCCTGTCCCCCCAACTTCCCCCCCACCCCAAACTGCTCTGTCCCCCCTGTCCCCCCAACTTCCCACACCCCCCCAGAACTGCTCTGTCCCACCTGTCCCCCCCAACTTCCCACACCCCCCTAGAACTGCTCTGTCCTCTCATCCCCCTGTGCCCCCAACTTCCCACCCCCCCCCCAGAACTGCTCTGTCCCGCCTGTCCCCCCAATTTCCCACACCCCCCTAGAACTGCTCTGTCCCCTCATCCCCCTGTCCCCCCAACCTCCTGTCCCCAGCCCCCCTGTTTCCCCGCCCCCCTCACTGCTCTCCGGTGAATCCAGGGGCACACTGGCACTGCCCCCCCCAGGGGTCACAGTGGCCCCCGTTGTGGCAGCGACACTCGCCCTGGCAGCCGGGGCCGAAGCGCCCGGGGGGGCACGGCATGGAGCAGATCTCCCCCTGCGAAGGAGCACGGGGGTCAGCAGGGGAAACTGAGGCAGGGACCACATTGCGGGGGGGGGGGGGGGGAGTCTCAGCCCACCTACCATCCATCCGTGGGGGCAGACGCAGGTGCTGGTGTTGGGGGGGTGACAGATGCCCCCGTTCTGGCAGGGGCAGGAGGTGTCGCAGGGTGTCCCCTTGGGGCAGGGCACCTCGCAGCTGGTGGGGGGGGTGAGGGGTGAGTGGGACCCCTGCCCAGTGCAGGGGAGGGGGGTGCTGGCGTTGGGGGGGCGCAGAGTGAGGAGCCCCTACTCACAGGGGGCCGGCCAGCCCCGGGGGGCAGAGGCAGGCACCGGTGGAGGCGTTGCAGGGGGCCCGGTGGTGACAGGGGCAGGACAGGCGGCAGCCCGGGCCGTAGGTGCCCGGTGGGCACGGCTGGTGGCACAGCGGGTCGGCAAAGCCGGGGGGGCAGGAACAGGCCCCGCTCAGGGGGTCGCAGGGGGCCCCGTGGTGGCAGGAGCAGCGGTGCCCACAGCCCGGCCCCCACGACTGCTCGTCACACTCTGCACGGGGGAGACCACCGGTCCCTCCCCATCCCACGCCATCGCATCCCATCCATCTTCATCCCCACCCATCCCATCCCATCCATCCCCTTTCCCCATCCCCATCCAACCCCATCCCATCAGTCCATCCATCCATCCCCATCCCATCCATCCATCCCCATCCCATCCCATCCCTCCATCCATCCATCCATCCACTCCATCCATCCCCATCCCATCTGTCCGTCCATCCATCCATCCATCCATCCATCCATCCACCCATCCATCCATCCATCCATCCATCCATCCATCCATCCTTCCTTCCCCATCCATCCCATCCCTCCATCCATCCATCCATCCATCCCATCCATCCATCCATCCATCCATCCCCATCCCATCTGTCCATCCATCCATCCATCCATCCATCCATCCATCCATCCATCCATCCATCCTTCCCCATCCATCCCATCCCTCCATCCATCCATCCATCCATCCCATCCATCCATCCATCCATCCATCCATCCATCCATCCCCATCCCATCCATCCATCCATCCATCCATCCATCCATCCATCCATCCATCCATCCCCATCCCATCTGTCCATCCATCCATCCATCCATCCATCCATCCATCCATCCATCCCCATCCCATCCATCCATCTATCCATCCATCCATCCATCCATCCCCATCCCATCTGTCCATCCATCCATCTATCCATCCGTCCATCCATCCTTCCCCATCCATCCCATCTCATCCATCCATCCATCCATCCATCCCCATCTTATCTCCATCTGAACCCCCATCCCCGTCCCACACATAATCCCATCCCAATTTCCCCATCCCATTCCCCATCCCCATTCTATTCTCCATCCCTCTCCCCATCCCCATTAACCACCAGGACATGCCCCGCCCCCCCCCCCCCCAGGCTACCCAGTCCTCCAAAGAAACCCCTTCCCCCACCCTGTCACCCCCACGTGGGGGTCCCCAGCTCCATGCCCCCCCCCCCCAGCACCCCTACACCCGTCCCTCACCGCTGGAGCAGTCGGTACCCCGCCAGCCCGGCTCGCACTGGCAAAGGTCGGGAGCCACGCACCGGCCGTGGACACACTCGTGGGTGCAGCGCGCTGTGGGGGCACGACCCGGGGAGGAGGGGGGGGTGAGCCAGGAACGCGGCCCCCGGGGGCCCCCCCCCCCCCCATCTCGCCCCACTCACGGATGCAGGAGTTCTGGCTCTCGTAGTAGCCCAGGCAGCACTGGTAACGCCTCCGGTAGTCGGTCCGGACTGCCTGCCGGTACTCAGTGCGGTACACGATCCTGCGCCCCCCGCACCAGCACCCTCAGGATGGGGACACCCCGCCCCAGCCCCCCCCCAACCCCACCCCCCCAAAACCCTGGGGACACCCTGCAGGGGGGACAGCCCCACCCAAACCCCCCCATAACCATGGGGACACCCTGCAGGGGGGACAGCCCACCCAAACCCCCCCATAACCATGGGGACACCCTGCAGTGGGACACCCTGTCCTAGCTCCCCCATAACTGTGGGGGCACCCCACCCCAGCCTCCCCATAACCATGGGGACACCCCACCCCAGTCCCCCCATATCCATGGGGACAGGCCCAGTCCAGCCCCCCCATAACCATGGGGACACCCTGCAGTGGAACACCCTGTCCCAGCTTCCCCATAACTGTGGGGGCACCCCACCCCAGCCCCCCCATAACCATGGGGACACCCTGCCCCAGTCCCCCCATATCCATGGGGACAACCTGCCCCAGTCCCCCCATATCCATGGGGACAGCCCCAGTCCAGCACCCCATATCCATGGGGAAACCCCCACCCCAGCCCCCCCATAACCATGGGGACACCCTGCCCCAGTCCCCCCATATCCATGGGGACAACCTGCCCCAGCCCCCCCATATCCATGGGGACACCCTGCAGCGGGCCACCCTAACCCAGCCCCACCATGGCTTTGGGGGCACCCTGCAGACCCCAAGGGGGGGCCGGGGTTGCTCCCACCTCTGCTGCAGGCAGGGCAGGGGGGGCCCCAGCACCCCGGGACAGGCCTCGGCAGAAGACACAACATGGGGTTTGGTGTAGGATTCCTTCACCGCCGCCGTGAAGCTGCCGAAGGAGGGGACGCGGGGTGACAACAGCTCCCGGGGTGGAGAGGGGGACACCCCACCGCCATCACCACCCAGTGCCCCCCCCCCCCCCCCCCCAAGTCCTACCTCTCCCAGTAGCTGCAGACGTTGGGGTCGCTGGGGCGGAGGGCGGCCAGGAGGCAGAGGTGCGTGGCCAGCGCCGCGGCCCGCAGCACCATCCTGCGCGGGGAGAAGGCGAGAAAACGGTGTCGCCCTCGGAACTCGCCCGCGTTCCAGCTCCCCCCACCCACCGCCCCCCCGGCATAGGATCCCACCTCCTCGGGGGGGGGGCCCAGCCTCACATTCCTCCTGGCGCCAGGAACAGCCTCAACCCCGGCTCACGCTGCTCCCCACCCCCAGCACCGCTGTGCCAAGGGGAAACTGAGGCACGGCCACCCAGCAGCCTGGGGGACCCTCCTGCGTGACCTCTCCTGCCGCACCCCACCCTGGTGTGGGATGTCGGTGTGCTGGGGGGGGGGGGGGGACGGGACCCGGGGTGGGGTTCGGCACGGCGGTTCCCGACCCTGGCGCGGCGCCTCGTGGCCCCGTTTCAACCCGTTTCGTGTTTATTCCCGGTTGAGTTTCCTGGATCCGGCGGCTTCTTGCTCAACTTCAGAGAGGGTCCAGCTTGGCCGGGGCGGCTCCAGGATCCCCGCCAGCCTGGGGGGCTGGGATGGGGGGGGGGGGCAGGGGGAGGGAACAGCGAGCCCCCCTCTCCCCAAAACCTCAGTGCCGCGTTTGCCGGGACGCGGGTTTTACGGTTAAACACACACGTGCCGGGGGGAGGAAACAGAGGTTTCCTGGTCGGCACAGCTGGATTTATGGCTGCTTCCGCGCCACTCCAGCCATGAGACACCCCAAAGGTGCCACCCCCGGCACCCCCCGAGTCCATCCTCCCCCTCGCCGAGGCCTGAACTGCGGTTTGGGACCAAATAAAGGGGTTGAGGGAGGGACTGACCCCCCCACCCCCTCCCTCCTCATCCTGGAGCGGCCAGTTTCAAGTGGAAAAAACAGTTTAGTGGGAAAGTTTCCCCCTATTTCCCTTCAGCTCCCAGCGGTGAGGAATTAATTGCTCATCCGCAGGCAAAATTCCCTCCCCTGGACCCTCCCGGGGGGGCAGAGATAGGGGGACCCCCCCTCAGCCCTCCCCGTGTCCTGCTGCCGGCCCCATCCCCTGCTCCAGCAATGGGGTTGGGGGGGGGGTGGGGGGTGGTCCCAGCGCTGCTGCAAACAACAGGAATCGCTGGGAGATGCTGGCAGGAAAAGCGAGGAGTCATCAAAATGCGCTGGCGGGCCCCATCTGCTCCTCGCTGGGGGGGGGGCCCAGCGGCAGGGAAGAGCACCCCCCCCCCCCTCAAGCTTGCTATAATGGCAAGAGACCCCCCCAAGAGCCGGTGCTCCCCACCCCATGGGGGCCCCTGAGCACCCCCTGAGTGGGATGGGGAGCATCAGCCACTGGTGACAAGGCACAGAATTGAGGGGGGGGGAGGCTGGGGTGAGGGCAGGGGGGGACACGGTGCTGGGCACTCCCCCCCCCCCCGCCCCGAGCCACTATCTCTGTCCCGATGCTTCCTCGGCCGCAGCCCGAGAGCTGACGCTTTTCCTCCAGGGACCACGAACCCGCAGGGATGGGGCTGGGTGAGGGTGAGGGGGGGGAGGATGAAGGTCAGGGTCAGGGTTAGGGTCAGCAACGGGGTCACCGCGAGGTGCCACAGCACCGTCCCATCCCCCATCTGATGTGTCCCCCCCACCATCCCCTCACCTCGGCTGCGGCAACCCGCCAGGTCCCCAAGCCCCCCCGCCACGGCGCTGGGGGACCGTCCCCTCCTGTACCACCCCAGCAGGACACAGCAAAACCCCAACCAAAACCCACCCCCCCCCGGGGAGCCGGGGTGCCCCAGGCTGGGGACGATGGCACTCACCTGGCCGGGGGCCGCGGCGGTGGGCAGGGTCGGGGTGCGACACCCCCAAGGCGAGGGCTCGGCCGGCCGGGACGGCGCAGCGCGGCCGTCGGAAGCGGAGGGAGGGCCAGAGCCACTCTCAGGAAGTTTGGACATGGAGACGACTACGGAAAGGAGAAAAAAAAAAAAAAAAAAAAAAAGACCCGTAGGGTTTTTTTATTATTATTATTTTATTTTTTTCTTTTTTCTTTTCTGGCCTGAAACCAGCTGATTTTGGAACATCGCCGGGGCCGCTCACACACGGTGCTGGGTGGGGAGAGAGTCCATGGGGACGTCCCGGCACAGCCCCTTCGACCGTGTCCCAGTGCTGGAGGGTGTCCCCATCCCCCGGGGGCTCTGTGGGGACTGGTGACCCCCTCGGCAGTGGGGCCAGCCCTGCCCACCAGCCGTGGGACTCTGCGTGGGAGCAGATGGAGAGCGTGGCACCGCCGAGGGCGGGAGCTTTGTGCCCACCCCTGGGTTCTCCTCCCTTGAGGTCCCCAGCCGGTGCTGGCACCCATGGGTGCAGGCTTTGATCCAGGGTGTCCTGTAGGGCTGGGGCGAGTGGACAGGACCCCCAGCCGAGGGGCTGCAGGGACTTTGGGGTTCCTTTGGCTTAACAGCAGCATCTGGTGGCAACGGGGAGCAGAGCCCGGGGCTGGTACCCAGCACCCTGGGCACAGCATCCCTGCATCCCGGTCATGGCATCCCCCCATCCCAGGCACACATCATCCCCGTGTCCCAGGCGCAGCATCCCAGCCTCCTAGATACACTTTGTCCCCACATCCCAGCATCCCAGGCACACGTCTTCCCCACATCCCGGGCACGCCTCATTCCTGCATCCCAAAATCCAGGGTAAGCATCATCCCAGGATCCCAGGCACACGTCATCCCCACATCCCAGGATCACATCGTCCCCACATCCCGGGCGCAGATTATCCCTGCCTCTCAAATCCCAAGCACACATCATCCCAAATCCCCATCCCTACATCTCAGGATCCCCGGCCAGCCGTCACCCCCATATCCTGGGACCCCTGGCCTTGCATCACCCCGATATCCTGGGTTCCTCAGCCATCCATCACTCCCCACATCCCAGGATCCTGACCATATATCCCACTGACATCCCGGGACCCCCAGCCACGTGTCACCCCCATCCCAGGACCCCCGGCCAGGCAGCTCAGCACCATGTGTGTCCCCTCCATGCCCAGCTGCCCCCTGCTCCCAGCGAGCACAACTTACATTAACCGGCCTCAACTGATGTCAAGGCGCCGTTAATTGCCTCTCCTCGTTACAGTAATAGCTCTAATCACTCGTAACGATTTTCACATCCCAGGGTGGCTCAGCTTCCCCCTCACCCCCACCCGCTCCCCACTCCCGGGGGTCCATTAGGATCAAGCCCACCCGCAGTGGGGGGTCCGCTGTGACCACCCCGAAACGGCGCTTCCCGGAGCAGGGATGGGCACCGAGGTCATGGGGCGGCAGGTTGGTGGGGGGGGATCCCCGAGGTGGGGACATGGGGGCTGGGACAAGCCAGGGACATCCAGAGCCAGGGACCTGCTGTGGAAGTGACAGCCCCCCCCCCCCCCCCACCTCCGCCCGCCCCCTCACCTCTGATGCTCTTAAATAAGGTGTCCCCAAGGTGGTGGGGAAATATTGCTCGGGGACATTTCAGCAGCACTTCAGCTGCGTCTCAACGCCGAGATGCCTTTGCAGCCCCCCCGGGACCCCCGTTGCCAGAGGGGATGGGGACCCCCAAGTGCACTTAGGGGCAACCAGGGGCTGCATGGGGTCTGGCCAGCGCTCAGCCCCCTCCTCCCCTGGGAGCCATAGGAGTGGGACGCAGCTGCATCCCCAGCCCCGATGTCCCCCCCAAACCATCCACCCCATCCTTGGGAAGAGGCGGGGGGGGGAACCCTAAAACACACAGCTGTTCCCCTTAGCGGGGACCTGAGGGTCCTTTTAGGGGCTTGCTGGTGGAGGGGTGGGACCCCCCAGGGAACACCCCCAGCCCCACCAGCGTCTCAGCCAGCAGCATTGGGGGAGCACAGTGGGACCCCCCCACCCATGCAGGATGCGGCCATGGACCACCAGCGGCTCTTGGCAGCTGCGTTGGCTGCAAGAGGCAGAATCGGGCCCGGGACCCCAAAACCCTCCTCAACCCCCGTTAGCGGGGCCAGGCCGCGGTGCCGCTGGGGCGGGCGGCTTTGCCAGGGAGCGGAGCCGTTAATTACCTCATTGCCAGAGTCCATTACCGCTCCCCCCGGAGCCGGTGAAATGGAGAAACTGCGGCAGGAGAGGGGGGGAATAAAATCAATCGGGGCTGAACCCTTCAGGGAGAGGGGCTGGGGGGGATTAACTCTTCCCTGACTGTCTTTAAGGGGGGAAACTGAGGCACAGCCACTCGCCCGTGGGGGGAAACTGAGGCACGGCTGCGGGGAAGCCCACCCAGCATGGCGAGGAGGGTCACCACGGCGCACCGTCCCTCTTGGGGCGCTGGGCTGCGGCAATCTGCGGCGCGGGGCTGGAAAAGCTCAAGGTTGTAATCTTGTTCCTTCCTCAAATTAGATAACAGGGGGGGGAAAAAAAAGGTCATAAATCAGCGCGGGCAGCGATTAGAGACCCCGAGGAAGCAGGTGGGGGGGCTCCACCGGCCGGGCTGCGCTCGAGCGGGGCCGGATCCTGCCCATGCCAGCTCGGTGAAGATTTGGGGCCAGACGGAGGGACCGGAGCCGCGGGCTGGGGGCTGGATCCGGCCCCGCCGCGGGGTTTGGGCTGGATTACAGCCTGGGAGCCGCAGGGCACTGGGGACGGCTCCAGTTTCCTCCAGTTCTCATCGTGTCACACCCAGGCCCCGGCACCCGGCACAGCCCCGAGCCCCTCAGCACCCGCTGCAGCTCCCCCCCTACCCCGTCCCCTCGGCCGCTCCCGCTGTGCCTCAGTTTCCCCTACGAGCCCGCTTTCCTCACGCTTATCTCAGGTCACCGTGGGTAACAAAGGAGCTGCCAGGGCCCTGCCTGCGCTGCCTAATTAGCCAGATGAAATCAATTCAGCTCCATTACGGTCAGATCCAGGTCTCAACCATTACCAAGGCGGCCGGAGAGCCCAGGGAAGGATGATGGAGTGGACGCTACAGGGCATGCGATAACCCCCTGGCTCCGGTGAGGGGGTGCGGGGAAGGGAGGGCTTTGCCCTTTGGGGGTGAAGGGGGGGTTTGGTTTTGTGCTACAAAGTCTTACCCTCCCCCCCCGGCACCTTGGCGAGGGGACCCAGGTGTCCAGGCCGGGGTGTGGCATAAGCATCCCTGGAGGGATGCTCAAGGTGGTCTCCATGGCACAGCCAAAAAAATTCCTCTCAGGGATGGGGACGGGGATGTCAGCCCTGCATCTCGGGCACACATCATCCCTGCATCCCAGGATCTCGTCCCTGCATCTCGGGCACACATCATCCCTGCATCCCAGGATCACATCCCTGCATCCCGGGCACACATCATCCCTGCATCCCAGGATCTCGTCCCTGCATCTCGGGCACACATCATCCCTGCATCCCAGGATCACATCCCTGCATCCCGGGCACACATCATCCCTGCATCCCAGGATCTCGTCCCTGCATCCCGGGCACACATCATCCCTGCATCCCGGGATCTCATCCCTGCATCCCGGGAACACATCATCCCTGCATCCGGGATCTCATCCTTGCATCCCAGGCACACATCATCCCTGCATCCCAGGATCTCATCTCATCCCTGCATCCCAGGCACACATCATCCCTGCATCCTGGGATCTCATCCCTGCGTCTCGGGCACACATCATCCCTGCATCCCAGGATCTCACCCCTGCATCCCGGGAACACATCATCCCTGCATCCGGGATCTCATCCCTGCATCCTGG